GCACTTTCAGTGTTCTAGTCATTGGAAGTGGTGACAGCTGTGAAGATTTCATATTGAAAGGTTTTGATGTTGCAGCTCAAGCAGTTGCTGAGTTGAAAGATAAGTCCTACAAACTCAAGTTTGTTGGTGCACCAAGAGGGAAAGAAGGTGAAATAGCAGATAAGTTGCTTCAACATGGTATTGATTGTAATCAGCTAATTATCCGCAGCTTTTGTGACAGCAGAGAATTATTAGCTGACTTATTCTGTGAGGTGGATCTCGCTATAATGCCATCCAAAACTGAAGGATTTGGAGTCAGTGCTCTTGAAGCCTTATCTGCTGGTTTACCTGTACTTGTCAGTGGTAATTCAGGACTTGGAGAAGCTCTGAAGGAGGTGGCTCTAGGATCACAGTGTGTGGTTAACTCTGAAGATCCAAAAGAGTGGGCCAAAAAAATCCAGGAGGTACGACACAAAAAGAGGGAGGTGCGACTCTTGGAGTCAAGGCTTTTGCGTGAAAAATATCTGGAGAAGTACAGTTGGGAAGGGCCCATTGGAAGTCTTGTAGAGAAGATGCACAGTCTCATGTTTGGTAGGCTAGCCTCTGCATTAGTTTTTGGGTAAAATCATTGTAATTAAGACAAGTGAATTAATTGATACCAAGTACTCTTAATCAGAGTCAAAAAACTTAGTTTTTCATTATTTTGTTCACCAAGTGGTAACATGGGTTCTTTATTTCAGTTGCCAGAAGGTAAAATTGGCCACCAAAAGTTTGATTCCTAAGATTTTGGTGTCACGGCAAAAAATGAAGTGAAGTTTCAAAGAGGTTTATTTTGATAATCAAATGAAATTTTAACAAGGTGTTCTTTACTAGCAGTCATGTTCACACTTGAGGGCACATGAGTGCTCATTAAGTGGTTGTCTGCAAGTGTGGGTGCCTTAGGACCATGGGAAGTTCAGGGTGGTGGCTTCCTCCAGCTATGAGCCATTCTCTCGGTTCAGACCCTATGGTTAGCTTCCAGATTCTTAGTTCAGAATAGGGACTCAGTCTACCACTCTTAAAAGACCTCTTACCACTGTCTGCTTAGCAGCAGGGAATTTCATAAACCTACAGCTGTGACCACCATGTAGAACTCTGACACAGTGGTGAATGCTGACTGTGAATGACTACCACAATCGTGCTAAGAAGATATTTTCAAAAATTTCACTAAATTCTATTGTTTTAATAAATCAGCCAAACAAAAATAGATAGCTCTGCCAACAAAGGAAGAAATGGCTCTAATCTCCTGATTAGAAAAAAAAATTGTTTATCACAAAGACTGGCCAATTAATAAAAATCAAGAAAGTAAAAAAATTGATGAAAGTTTTAAGCCTAATCAGACACAGGGATACTTGATAAAGAAAAATTATGAGCTGCACCTGAGGGGAGAATAATTACCTTCAGCTGCAAATGAGGGAAGAATAATCTTTAGCTGCAAATGAGTGTCCATTGAATTCCTCAGATGTATTGAGCTGTTGTAACTGCAGTAGTTGTTTTGTAGTAGATGCGCATACAGTACATAAACACTTATTGGAGGTTGTTTTGAAAATGTTGATGCTTTTTGTACCAAAAGGTGGTAAAGGACTGCGGTGTAACTCAATACTCAACCTTCTGAAGCAGTTTGCAAATACTCAAACTTATCAGGTAGAAGTTGTTGTTGAGATTTAACACCAAATTCTTATAACTAAGTTACCAGGGAATGTTTAGCAGATGGAGGGGAGAGTTGACAATCAGATTTGGGAGTTAAAGGGTTAACTGATGTTCTGTCTCTTTTAGCTCTAAAAAGCTCCTCTGGTGATCAATCATTTCCTTTATCCATAGAATGTGGACAGTGTCCTCTTCCTTCAAGTTCAGTGCCTCAAGCCAACCTTGTTCAAGAGAGAAGTCACTCTCAAAGTTAGTGAAATTTATGATGAAGTGTTATTACTACACTTTTAATTTTTCATGTGAAACAATGTTTATTATTATTATTATTATTATTATTAGTGTATTTCCTATTATTATATTGCTTTGTTTTCAGGGACATAAACAGTACAGTTTTTGTGTATTGTTATTTTTATTGCTTTTAAAGAAATGTTCCAAAACATTCAAGAATTGGTCCAAAGGGAACATATGAAACTGGTTGCCATGGGACCAGTGTTAATGTGATTTGTTATATGGCACAGTGAAGAAAGTAGAGGACACAATAGGGAAGCCAATCAAGTGCAATTACTACAATGCTACAATTTCACATTACCTTCACCCTAACCTCAATCATGCTATGTTCATGTGCAGTGGTGGTCATATGTCAACAGTGGCCTGTACAGTGGCTAAATATCAATGTAATGTACATTGATGTTTAGCCACAGTAAAAGCCCTGTACACCCAAGACTTCCATCTTACATTTAAGTGTGGTGGCAGTTTTTGTACATCTCCAGAAATGATTCCCACTGGTTTCAATAGAAGCTAGCTACCAGCAGTCAACCACTCTTAAAAGACTCTTACCATTGTCTGCTTAGCCTGTTAAGACAGGCTCCCCTGTTTGGGGTTTGCCTTATGGCCCTTTTCCAGACACAGCTGCTTATTAGATAATCAGTAGTCGCTTATGAAAAGGTCATTGAGACCCCTGTATGTTTTGAAATTAAATGCTGGATGTTAGAACATGGTTGCAACAGGTGAAGGAACAATCAGGGAATTTAAAAAACCTACAGCTTTGGCCACCATGTAGAAGCCAAACTTTGACACAGTGATCAATGCTGACTGTGGATGACTACCACAGTCATGCTAGGAGGATATTTTCAAAAGTTTCTCTTAATTCTATTGTTTTAATAAAGAAGCCAAACAAAAAAGGTATTTGGACAATAGAGACAAAAGACCACAAAACACCTGTGTGAGTTCAGATAAATTAGGTTTTTATATTCTTTCTCTTAATGTGAAGTAATGCAATAGTTTTTTTTGTTTGAAAGTTATCTGGGCCCCTTTTTCTGTTGCAAATATGAAAACATTAGGTTCACAGTGTCCCATTCCAACCCACCCAGCCAAAATGATAACTCTTGCATGCTAGACATGCCTGTGTGTCACCCTAGCTAAATCTGTTGAGATATTTTCATGTTTGAAACTGTAATCTTTTAGATCAATCAGAATTTTGTTTTCAAACTCTGTTTGGTTGGTGTTACCTCAATATCATGTTCTCGCACTTCAGTGGTTATATAGGTAACAGGTATATAAAGAACCTTGTTATAATTAAATTTGTTATTGATTAAATTTGACTGTTACAATTTGACAGATGGCAAATTGAAAATGAAGGTCGAGGTGGATGACTTGAAACCTGAAGAGCAGAATAAGCAGACTGGCATTCTGGCAACAGAGTCTGTCAGATGCCAAGAAGTTCGGCAGCTAAGGGCATCTGCTACATCAGCCGCATCTGGAGGTGTGTCTTGTCCACAAACAGAAGATCTCCACACTAGTAAAGAGAAATTATTCGTATCAATTATTACAAAATATTTCAACACCACAAAGCCACAGTCCATTGAAGAGTTCAATAGGTTTTTGGAATATGCAAGAGATATGAGATTCACCATTGTTGGTGTCTCTGAAGGAAGTTTGGTGATTACGGTGAAGTGTGAATCTCTAATGAGCTTGGAGGAGTTGTGGACAGATTATTTGTCTGGTCATCTGGGTGAAGTGGTTCAAAATTGTTTTGTAACTGAACAGATCTTGAAGGAACTGAACCTGGCTGAGCTGAGGCTGAAGACAACAATGGACATAGAAGAGTACAATGCATGCAAAATGTTCTTTGAGAAAGATGCACTTAGAGGTTGGTAGAAAGAATGTAACAAGGCCTGGTCCTATCATAAAATATTTGTAAAGGTTTTTGAATGAAATCCATCAGTCTTTCAACATGGAGTATGGTAGAGTACATGTAGTGAAGGGATGATGGAATTGTTTATTGCAAAAAGTGGCTAAGTAATAAAAGCCAAAGAAGTAAAAATATTGATAAAAATGAAAGTTTTTAGCTTGATCAGACACAGGGATACTTCAAAAAGAAAAAATTATGAGCTGAAGTGAGAGGAGAGTAATCTTTTGCTACAAATGAGTGTACACTGAATTCTTCAGATCCACTGAGCTGTTGTAACTGCAGAAGTTGTTTTATGGTAGATACACATACTTGTACAAAAGCAGTGAGAGGTGGTTCTGAGAAAGTTGAAGCTTTTTGTATCAGAAGGTGGAGAAAGACAGAGATATAATTCAGTATTCACCCTTCTGAGGCAATTATCTTGCTTAAGAACTAATTTTCCATATGAAATCAGTATGATCTATCATTAATTTCGAAAGAAAATAAACAAACAGATCATTAACTAAGTGAATTGTTAGTTAATAAATACTTAATCTTCAAAGAAGCATATTCTTTTCTATTAATTTGCTATTGTGCACTGTTAGGTTTAGGAAGCAGACCTGTTATTGCAACTGGAGATAAGAGGCCAGCCTCTATTGTGTTAGGTGATTGCCATTCCAAACAATTCAGGGGAGAAGTGATAAACTATTATCATCATGAAGGTAATATTTAGATGTTAAATGATATAGTTAATTTGATATTTTTTAAAGAAATGTTCCAAAACACTGAGGAATTGGCACAAAAGGGAAGGTATGAAGCGGTTTGCCATGGGACCAGTGTTAATGCGATTTGCTATATGGCACAATGGAGAAAGTTGAGGACACAATATGGAAACAAATCAAGTGCAAATTACCACAATGCTACAATTTCAAATTACCTTCACCCTAGCCTCAATCACACTGTGTTCATGTGCAGTGGTGGTCATTAATCAATGGTGGCCTGTAACATTGCTCTGTTACCCTCTGACGTCATAGATTTTATGATTTTTTTTTTTAGCTGAGATACTTTTGACATGTGACCCCAAAGTAACCAATGTGAGCACTCATGAAAGGGTCAGTGGCACTTTCCAGAAGAGATTCTAGAGGCATGGAAAAAATGGGGGGGGGGGGGTTGGGGCTAAGGGATAGAGTGTGAAGTTAAGACTTTGTATGGGGGATTTTTTGTGATCTTCGTAGCTTTTTACAGAGGTATAAAGTGATTATCTCTGTTCTGACCCCATGGTTAGCTTGTAGAGTTTTAGTTCAGAATTGGGGCTCATGACTAGGTTGAGTTGCAGAAATTTGCCAGCTGTGACAGTAGTATTCTGCTCTGTATCTGAAAGGTGTTTAGCCAAAGTGAAAGCCCTGTACACCCAAGACATCCACCTGACATCTAAGTGTGGTGGCAGTTCCTGTACTTCTCCAAAACTGATTGTCACTAGTTTCAATAAAAGACAACTACCAACAGCCTATCACCCTTAAAAGACCCCCTACCACTGTCTGCTTAGCCTGCAAAGAGGCTCTCATGTTTGGGTGTAGTGCTTCCCATAAGAGTGCTTAATGCTGTCTTTTTTGCCTGAAAACAGACTCTTGTGTTGGGGTCTTTGCCCCCTGTAAGACCCTTCAATGAATAAATACTTGATGTTCAAAAGAGCATATTCTAATTGGTCAATTTGTTCTTGTGCACCATCAGGTTTAGGGAGCAGACCCTTTATTGCAACTGGAGATGCAAGGCCAGTCTCTACAATGCCAGTTGATGACTATTCCAAACAATTCAGTAGAGAACTGTTAAACTATCATCACCTTGAAGGTAACATAAGGATGTTAAATGATGTTAATTTTTTTGTTCATTGACTCCCAAACTTGCATACCTTGGTAAGCTTACCAGTGGGCCATGATATTTTTAAAAACCATTCCTTTGTCCTTCCCAGGACAAAGAGCTGTAGTTAACTGATGTTGTGTCTCTTTTAGCTCTAAAAGGCTCCTCTGGTGATCGCTCATCTCCTTTACCCATGGAATATGGACAGTGTCCTCTTCCATCTACTTCATTGGCTCAAGACAACCTTTTTCAAGGGAGAGGTCACTCTCAAAGTATGTGAGATTTATGGTGAAGTGTTATTACTACACTTTTCAGTTTTTCATGTAAAGGAAAGTTTATTACTCGTTATCATAATGCTTTGTTTTCAGAGACATAAACTGTACAGTTTTTGTGTGTAGTTAATTTTTATATTTTTTAAAGAATTGTTCCAAAACATTGAAGACTTGGCACAGAAGGGAACATATGAAACGGTTTACCATGGGACCAGTATTAATGTGATTTGCTATGTGGCACAACGAAGAAAGTAGAGGACACAATATGGAAACAAATCAAGTGCAAATTACCACAATGCTACAATTTCACATTACCTTCACCCTAGCCTCAATCACACTGTGTTCATGTGCAGTGGTGGTCATTAATCAACAGTGGCCTGTAACATTGCTCTGTTACCCTCTGACGTCATAGATTTTATGATTTTTTTTTTTCACTGTAAACTTTCGACATGTGACCCCAAAGTAACCAATGCAAGCACTTGTGAAAGGGTCACTGGCACTTTCCAGAAGAGTTTCTATAGGCAGGGAAACAAGGGGGGTTGGGGCTAAGGGATGGAGTGTGAAGTTTAGACTTTGTATGGGGGATTTTTTGTGATCTTCGTAGCTTTTTACAGAGGTTTAAAGTGTTTATCTCTGTTCTGACCCCATGGTTTGCTTGTAGAGTTTTAGCTCAGAATTGGGACTCATGACTAGGTTGAGTTGCAGATATTTGCCAGCCGTGACAATAGTATTCTGCTCTGTATCTGAAAGGTGTTTAGCCAAAGTGAAAGCCCCGTTCACCCAAGACATCCACCTGACATTTATGTGTGATGGCAGTTCCTGTACTTCTCCAAAACTGATTGTCACTGGTTTTCAATAAAAGCCAGCTACCAACAGCCTATCACTTTTAAAAGACCCCCTACCACTGTCTGCTTAGCCTGCAAAGGGGCTCTCATGTTTGGGTGTAGTGCTGCTCATAAGAGTGCTTAATGCTGTCTTCTTTGCCTGAAAACAGGCTCTTGTGTTTGGGTCTTTGCCTCCTGTAAGACCCTTTAATGAATAAATACTTGATGTTCAAAGAAGCATATTCTAATTGGTCAATTTGTTATTGTGCACCATCAGGTTTAGGAAGCAGACCCTTTATTGCAACCGGAGATACGAGGCCAGCCTCTACAATGCCAGTTGATGACTATTCCAAACAATTCAGGAGAGAACTGTTAAACTATCGTTACCTTGAAGGTAAAATTAAGATGTGAATGATGCAAATTTTTTTGCTAATTTTTAAATGACTCCCAAACTTGTATGATTCAGAAAGCTTAGCAGTGGGCCATGATATTTTTAAAGAAGTCACTCTCAAAGTTAGTGAAATTTTTAAATGAGTCCTAAACTTGCATACCTTGGAAAGCTTACCAGTGGGCAATGATATTTTAAAAATCATTCCTTTGTCCCTCCCAGGATAAAGAGCTGTAGTTAACTGATGTTGTGTCTCTTTTAGCTCTAAAAGGCTCCTTTGGTGATCACTCATCTCATTTATCCATGAAATATGGACAGTTTCCTTTTCCTTCAACTTCATTGCCTCAAGACAACCTTTTTCAAGAGAGAAGTCACTCTAAAAGTTAGTGAAATTTGTGGTTAAGTGTTATTACTACACTTTTCAGTTTTTCATGTAAAGCAAAGTTTGTTAATGTTATTATTATTATTATTATTATTATTATTATTATTACTATTATTGTATTTCTTGTTATCATGATGCTTCGTTTTTAGAGACATAAACTGTACTGTTTTTGTGTATAGTTAATTTTATATCTTTTAGAGAAATGTTTCAAAACATTCAGCAATTGGCATAAAAGGGAACATATGAAACTGTTTGCCAAGGGACCAGTGTTAATGACATAAAGTTTGCTGATACTTCGTGAATCAGATTAAAACCTTCTAACAGTGCCATTTAGCCATTTGGAAAAAATACCATCAGATATTGTCAATCATCTGATTTTATTTAAGGTAAAAGGTTTTATATAACGGATTGTCTGTTGCAGATCAAGTGCAAGACATAACAAAGTCAGAAGAACCACGCGTTACTACACAACGCGCAGAAAATCCCAAGCCAGCTGGTGAGTTTTTAAAAGAGTCAACACGAGATAAGAGATAGACCCCTTTGTGTTGAACGGAAGCGTTAAGTTTAAAGGCGTAACTGGCATTAAAAAAAAGAAAAGAAACGGATGTGAAATGGCGGACACCATCTTTCAGAAATCTTCACAATGATCCTGCTGCACCTTCTTCTTAACCCCCCCCTCCCCTCCGTATGTTGGTGATTTATACTACTTCGTTACTCCGTAAGCTCTTACTGTAGTAATCAGCGCTTCAAATGGGATTGAGCATACTGCGACAATTATCTAGCCCGAAGGCTATAAACACCGTAACACTATCAACAAATTATTTACCTCACCCTTCAGTTTCGGATGGTAATCTTTTTTCTGAAAAACAATGAAAATCATGATATCCTACAATTAGAGAGTTCAATAAAAATTTTATGATTTGATTACTGAGGTTTTTTCCAAATTGTTTTCCGAGATTAACTCTCTGATAGCTTAGAGGAGCCATCTGTTATTTTCATTGGACGAAAGTAGTCATAATTACGTAAGAGAAGAACGTCATTTGAAGGTCACAAAAGGGGCTGACAGCCAATGAAAGAAAGATTAAATTACATCAAACGATATTAATTTCAAACCGTGCATAGGAAAACAGCTATTGTACTGCAGTAGTAACGGCGATCTTGGTCAGGGGCTTCGGCAGGACTTTTTTTTATGGGAGTGGGGAGCTGGCCTTTTCTAGGCTAAAAAGCGAGCAGGCAAAAAAAAATTGCATGCAAGCGCATTCTACAGTTGTGGTAGTCAGCGAAACAATTCTTTCCATTTGTCCTCGCGCTGTTCTGCGCCGCCGCTTTTTTGATCCTCTCCAGTGATTAAAAGCGTTGAAGAGGCTAAACGGGGGGTGGAGGGTCTGAAGGAAGGGGTCACGGACGCTTTTTTAACTCGTTTTTTTTTTATGAGAATTCCACTATGAAAATGTGTCACTCACTCAATAAGTTGTAGACACTAGTAGTTAGTCGTCCCGTACTCGTCCGAACACGAAACCATATTGGAGTACTATCCGCGCATAAAACGATAGAGATGCTCTGTTACAGTTTACATTAAGGATCGTTGCTTTAAATATCACCTTCCAAGTGAACAAAAATTCATTGAGTTCAGGCGTAAACCTAATGCAGTGAATTGCCTCGATTGTTTATGATCTGATATAAAACAAGAACCAGGATTAACTTCAGTTATCTTATTGAAACATTGGTCGCTGGATCGTTTAGAAGCGGACGAAGATAACCCTATGCTTCTCTAACTAAAGAAAACTTGTGGAATTCATTTCCACATATCTTCAATTAAAATCAGTCAAAAATACTAGCAGTCTCATAAAATGCGTTCTGAGGTATTTTCATTCCGAGGCAGAAAACTTATCAGTTGCAAGCGGGAGAAAACCGTGTAAGCGTTACATTGCAAACATTTATTGAGCAACTGTGAGGCGAAACGTGACAGTAATGGAAAATAGCGGAATTTTGCTTGTGCAGGCGAAGAAATTTGACAAATTTTGCAAACGGAAATTCGACAAACGCAGGATACTATTTTGTGCTGTTTTTGTTGACTATATATGCGTTTATTTTTTGCGGAGTTGGATGTTTACCATAATTGTGGATATCTCCGTGACTTTCCGGAACCTTGGCTTTTATGATAAGAGCAAACCTTGCATTGCTATAAGACCAGTTATTATAAGTCGTAAACATGGTTCTTCTCTGGATTAACTACTTTATGCACAAGTGGGCCAAAGGTATTCTTTTATTTTGTGTCTAGTGTCTTATACCACTGCCCTATCTTTTGCACAAGCGGGCCCCTGTTTACGCGGCGAAAACTGGCAGATAGAGTTTTTGCCATGCAGATTTTATCGCATAAGTGTGTTACGTGTTAAAATAATTATTATATGCAAAAGTGATGATTGTTAAGTTAGCACAGCAGATTTTTTTTTTTCTCTCCAGATTACCCTGAGAAACTTGTGGCGCTGATTAGACGAGAGTACAAGGGAACAGTATTGTGTCCCTTCCCTTGGTGTGAGGAAGAATTGCAATTCGAACTCTCTAAGATATTTACAAGACTGACTATCGTTTGCCGGAAGAAAGAACGTGCAAAGTTGACAAAAGACCCCGTCAAAATGACTGAGGTCTTAAGACCATATAAAAAATGTGAATGTAGATGTGAATGTAAATGTGAACGTGAAAAACCAAGAGTAGTGTTGATCGAAGGGGAACCTGGGATAGGAAAAACCACTTACTGTCAGAAGCTTGCATATGATTGGTCTGTGGGGGACATTCCAACTGAATCTTCTTTTCCTAAAGTGGACATACTTCTTCGGCTGACATGTCGTGACATGAAGACTGCTAAAATTGAGGATGCTATTGAAGATCAGCTACTACCACTTGATGTGAACGAGAAAGACAAGGAAAATTTTTTCTATTTCATTCGCCATTATCAATCTAGAATCTTGCTGGTACTTGACGGATTGGATGAATTACCGCAGAACCTGTTTAAAGAATTTTTACCTTTAATTAAAGGAAGAGTTTTACCTTTAACTTATCTCATTATAACAGCTCGACACGAAGTAGGGATAAATGTTCGGCTACACAGTGACGCACTGTTTGAGATTAAAGGCTACACCAAAGAAGATGCAGACAGTTACATCAAGAAGTATTTCAGTTGTCACGACAAATCAAGGCTTGCTGGGAAACTAATCAGGAAAATAAACAACGACTCACAGCTTAGGGAATTGACTGCCAATGCACTGAACACAGCTCTTCTATGTCTTGTTTTTGAAGACACTGGCGGAAGATTGCCTCACAACAAAACCATGTTGTATTGTGAACTTGTTGACTGTGTTTTGAGGCGATATTGTTCTAAGAAAGAAATCCGTTTGTGCGACAAAAGTCCCATAGACAAATACATGCACCAGCTGAATCAGTTGGGCAAGTTAGCTCTTGAAGCTCTGCTGAAAGATCAATTGGCTTTCACTCCAGGGGAGTTAGAGAGTCAGTCAACGGAATTCCTTCAGCTTGGATTTCTTTCTCGAGAAGCCAGTGTAAGCAAAATCAGACCGAAGCCAACTTATGCATTTATCCACAAGACTTTTCAGGAATTCTTTGCCGCATTCCATCTGTCGCTTGAATTGGAAACTGCTGATAGGGACCAGACGGCCCTGCTGACTCAGCTTAGTCCTGTTGATAAGTACTGGCAGGTGTGGAAGTTTTTGATCACAATGGTAGCAGGTAAAAGTGAAGAAACAGCTACTTTCCTGGTTTCGAGACTATGGGCTTCTTTTCAGCGTAAAAAACCTAGGAAATCGGTAAAACGCCAGTATACAAAGCAACCTTTAAAATCGAGCGACTCTGAAGACGACTCTAAAGACGACTCTGAAGGCCACTCTGAAGATGACTCTAGAGGCGATCCTCATGACGAGCATGACAAATCATGTAGAGGGGAGCTCTTCGGCCTTTTAAGTGACCATAATATAGAAGTCCTTGAAGGTATCAGATGGGATGGGGAGAGATGGAGAGCGATGGAGATAACTGATGAGGTTTCCTTTCTTGAGAAAACAGTTGATGCTATTGCTCAGTGTGAACAAGGTAATAATAAACTTAGTTCCTGCCAGATTAAAATGGCCCGTACGCTAGCTCATTGTTTTCCTAAGGATGAAGTGATAATGAAGAAAAGTTATCTCCCTGCTAATTCCTCTCCCTGGGGCTCTCAATTTTCACTCGTTTTCTACGAATATCTTAAAGGCAACCGCAAACTGAAAGAATTAGTTTGGGAAGTATCAGCTACAGCAGCACTTGCAGATGTCCTTAAAGCGACTCATACTCTGACACACTTGCATTTGAAGACCGGCCGGTGTATTACATCACTAACTCAAGCTCTTCAGGCGAATCACACGGTTACACATTTAAATATGTCTCATACCAGAGTCGACGATGTGCAAGCCAAAGTACTCGGAAAAGTTCTCCAGTCAAATCACACTTTGACTCATTTGTCCATAGCTAGTAATGGGATAACACATATTGGAGTTGAAGCTTTAGCAGACGCACTAAGATCCAATAAAATATTGAAGAACTTGAATATTGGAAGAAACGAAATCGGTAACGAGGGAGCCAAAGTACTCGGAAAAGTTCTCCTGTCAAATCACACTTTGACTCATTTGTCCATAGCTGGTAATTGGATAACACGTATTGGATTTGAAGCTTTAGCAGACGCTCTAAGATCCAATAAAATATTGAAGAACTTGGATATTGGAGGTAACTACATTAGTGATGAGGGAGCCAAAGTACTCGGAAAAGTTCTCCAGTCAAATCACACTTTGACTCATTTGTCCATAGCTGCTAATGGGATAACACATATTGGAGTTGAAGCTTTAGCAGACGCTCTAAGATCCAATAAAATATTGAAGAACTTGAATATTGAAAGTAACAACATTGGTGATGAGGGAGCCAAAGTACTCGGAAAAGTTCTCCTGTCAAATCACACTTTGACTCATTTGTCCATAGCTCGTACTCGGATAACACATATTGGAGTTGAAGCTTTAGCAGACGCTCTAAGATCCAATAAAATATTGAAGAACTTGGATATTGATGGTAACGGAATTGGTGATAAGGGAGCCAAAGTACTCGGAAAAGTTCTCCAGTCAAATTACACTTTGACTCATTTGTCCATAGCTCGTAATGGGATAACACATGTTGGAGTTGAAGCTTTAGCAGACGCTCTAAGATCCAATAAAATATTGAAGAACTTGGATATTGATGGTAACGGAATTGGTGATAAGGGAGCCAAAGTACTCGGAAAAGTTCTCCAGTCAAATCACACTTTGACTCATTTGTCCATAGCTCGTACTCGGATAACACATATTGGAGTTGAAGCTTTAGCAAAAGCTCTAAAGTCCAATATAAACATTGAAGGACTTGGATCTCAATGATAACAACATTGGTGATGAGGGAGCGGAAGCACTCAAAAAAGCTCTCCAGTTAAATCACACTAACCCATTTATAGCTGCTAATCAGATACTGGGTTGTGGAGAATGGGTTTGCTCATTGCATAGCCATCCGATTGGTGATCAAGGGGCAAGAGCTATAACACACGCGTTCCGATATAACAGTTCACTGACTCTCCTAGGTATTTGTGTAAATACTTTAAGTGACTCGTCATTCGCAGCACTGGGAGAAGCCCTTAAGAGCTCTGAATGTCAGCATTCATCAAACAAACAGCGCCAAGTCACCCAAATTTGTTTTCCCTCCTACTTTCATATTTTGTAGCCCAATATGTTCTAATAATTGTGGAGTAGTTTTTTTGTAAAAATTTATTTTAGTTTTCGAAAAATAATTTTTTTCGTTCGACCGCTCAAATATGCAAATTTCCACCGTGAATATTACCAGAGTTGTGTGACCTCATGTAACGAATGTACTAGACCTACGGTATTTCTGTGAACACAATCCTTTGTTTTATCATCTAAACTTAATCCCCTGTCGTTATTGAAGCTGGCAAAGAAATATTTTTTTTTTGGTGAATATTTTTGTCCGACATACTTTCCCTATGTCGAGAAGTAGCATCAAAACAAAGACAGTTTTAACAATAACCGATATGACAATCTACTGAGCTTCAAGCTTTTAAAAGACCAAAGGATGGTTATAAAGTTACTGTAAAAATTTCCTTGTTTATTTGTGTTGTTCTATCTTGAGACGAACTCAAAGTCCGGCAATATTTACTTGATAGCGACCATGAAATATACATAGTGCGCCTTCTTGTCGCCACCGTTAACTGGCAGAAATCACTACAGTTTGCAAAAAAATCTAACATAACACTTTTACCTTGTTTATTTATGATTTTATTAGCTGTTTCGATGATCACGTTTATTATGCTCTACCACATTCTAGCCAGATTTGAGTTCCAGTTTATATATCTTCTCTAACTTATTATATCAGTTGCGTGACAAGCGTGACACAGAAATTCAAAGATGAGTCAACCTCCGAAATACCAAGAGATGGGGTTTTTTTCCTCTTTGCATGACATCTAGAAAAACCTTTCAGGAATTACTGCATTCAGAAAACTAAAATGTCCAGATCCATCAATGATTCCTTCGCCGGCTGAAGTCAAAGTATGGTTACAGCAGTCGATTTGATTGACAAGCTACATACTGATTTAGCTAACTGATCTGTTTTATAAGCGTCTCATCTTACATGCTAACATGGAGATTTGCTATTTAGTTAAATCGTTCGCTGGTGGAACTTGTGGGTTTAGTTATCGAGAAGACCAAGTCGTTCCCTTGCGTGATTGTTAAAAAGGCATTTCATGTTACTCTCGGAGTTGCAAGTTTTCAGATCCAGAAAATGAAGTTGATCTTGTTTTGTCGCGTGCCGGCATCTTCGAGACGCCAAAACACATCGATGATTTTACAAATTGCCCCACACACAGATCAAATCTTGGTGTTGGGTGGAATCGTGGTTCCAATAGCAAATGTAGGGTGCCAAAAGAAATGTTCGGCCATGGTAAAGGTGGGTTAAGGCGATTCCAAAAGCTGATAGGGGAATCGGCAAGCAAGATGTCTGGAAAATTCGTACAATCTGGCTTCGGTAAGTAGGCTACTTACCACCGTGAGCAAAATTACGCGTGACGTCAGAGTTAAGTTTCGATTGGGAATTGGTCAATAGGCTACCAAAAATTCAGACAGAGGCGGAGTTTTCTCAACTAATGCCTGAACACTTTGTTGGCTTTCCGCCGTCTGGGGGGACGCGTAATTATGCACACTGCGGTAAAGGGCCCTTCCACACTAGCAACTAGCAGAGATTCCAACCCTCCCGATTTGATCGGGAGTCTCCCGATTTGATGTCTTGCCTCCCGCTCTCCCTATTTTTACCAAATTCTCCCGATTTATCATAAAATTCTGGGGAAAATTGCTAATCTTTAGAATTTTTGGCGATCTGTCACTGTGAAACACTCATATTATACTTACTTTCTTCGTGAAGAGCATTATGGTATGTTATAACTCAGGCCGGAATGATGTCAAAATTCAGGAAATGGCACTTGAGAGAACCTAAATTTGAAAAATTTGCATGCCCCCTGACCCCCCTAGAAGCTCGCGCCTTTGGCACTAATAATTACTCCCTATTTTCCATCACATGGGGTTGGAATCTCTGAACTAGACGCTGACAAAACATGTTTCTCTTCGCCAAAATCACATTAGAATTTGTCCTTGCTAAATGTCAAGTGTGCTACACGTATTAGCACCACCAGGGGGACTCCTTTACATAGAGGGCGGGGTGCGCGCCTGGAATTTCGAAAACGACCGCTATAAAATTATAAAAGGTGCTCTCCTCCGTGTGGCAGTGGCAACAATTAGCCTGTTAAAACAAGTGTTTATGTCCTTTTCTGTCTTTTTCAATGCTTCCCTCGCTTCTACAGAGGATTCATACAGATATGAGAGCCGTGCCGCGTTTACATTGTACAGGTAGAAAAGGTCGTCCATAATGAGTGTTTTGTTCTGTAATGAAAACCCCGATAATTCACTCAGAAATTTTGAATAAATTTTACGCTGGTTATTATGTGGCAACCGTTATGAACTCGTTCTTGTACAAAACTCAGTCGGATATCATGTAAAAGGCCCCCTAAAAGTTTTTATCCCAGAGCATCACGCTTTGCTCGCCTGTCTGAATACTAAAAATTTCAGTAGCGTTGAAGCAACAACCCGCTCTTAACTGCTGCTGAAACAACGATAAGTGAAGAAAGCACATATTTTAATATTTTAAATTCAACGTAAACAAAAATCTTTATACATGGTAAATATTAACTTGTGTCGGTATCAATTATTGCGTGACTAGCTTATGATACAAATGAGGGAGGGGAAAACACAACGCAAAACCTGAGCTCCTGTCAAAAAGTAAAACCCAGACGTAATATAACAATCGAAACGGCTAATAAAGTCATAAATAAACAAGATAAGGGTGTTATGTGAGACTTTTTTACAAATTGTGGTGATTTATGCCAATTAACGGTGGCGACAAGTAGGCGCACCATATACATTTCATGGTCGCTATCAAGTAAATTTTGCCGGACTTTGAGTTCGTCTCGATAGCACAACACAAATACACAAGGAAATTTTTACAGTAACTTTATAACCATCCTTTGGTCTTTTAAAAGCTTGAAGCTCAGTAGATTGTGTCATATCGGTCATTGTTAAAACTTTCTTTGTTTTGATGCTACTTTTCGACATAGGAAAAGTATGTCGGACAAAAATATTCACCAAAAAATAAATATTTCTTTGCCAGCTTCAATAACGACAGGGGATTAAGTTTAGATGATAAAACAAAGGATTGTGTTCGCAGAAATACCGTAGGTCTAGTACATTCGTTACATGAGGTCACACAACTCTGGTAATATTCACGGTGAAAATTTGCATATTTGAGCGGTCGAACGAAAAAAGTAATTTCTCGAAAACTAAAATATATTTTCACAAAAAAACTACACCAAAATTATTAGAATATATTGGGCTACAAAATATGAAAGTAGGAGAGAAAACAAATTTTGGGCGACTTGCCACAATATTTCAAGTTTGTTCGATGGATGCTGACATCCTCTCTAAGTCAAACTCTCCTCTGACTCATTTATACTTGTGGGGTGATGGGCCTATTCTTACCGAGTATTACTGGTGATTCATCATTAGAAACTTTCTTAAAGGCTCTTCAGTCACGTAGCACTCAGATGACCCATTTACATCTAAGTAACTTATCAATCAGCTTATCACTTGTAATACCCTGAGCAGAGGCTCTCGAGGTCAGTGACACTCTTGAACTTTTAGATTTAAGTTCTAACAAAATTGATCGTTCAGGCGCAGGAACTCTAGCACAGGCACTGAAAAAAATCAAAGCCTGATTTATTTGCAGCTGAGTCACCACAAAATCAGTGATGCCGGAGCTGAAAAATTTGTAGCGGTTCTTCAGTGCAATGAGACTTTGATATTTCTAGGCTTCATGCATAATTGATTGACTAAGCCAGGAAACGACCTCTTTGAGGGTTTAGGTGGCCATTTGGCACAAACCGGATATATTTGTTCCTGCAGCTATGGCGTAAAGTGGATTAGGAGTTAATGAGCACCACCTGCGTGTAGAATTTGTGCAACTGTTATAATGTCGGCCCAAAACAGGATTAAAAAGAAAATTTCAGAAATGGTGGAAAGATGGTGGTTACACGTACATCATTAGGACTTCAACATGATCAAAGTGTGTAATTCATTACATATGCGTAAGTTATTCTACTCGTGTCGTTTGAGAGTAAGTGTTCCCGAGAGAGATTTGGGTCGAAATTGACGATGGAAAACAATTCTCATACATATGCACGAACCGCAGTGGAGTGCGGTTCGCATAACTACACACCTTGATCGCTTTGAAATCGTCATATACCGAGTACTCTGAGAAACACCACAATAATTTGGTTTTCCGGTTTTTTGGTTTCAAATTGTACGCCCACCCGCACACAAACAGGTAAACAATCGTGTCATATTCCCCAGATTCATGAAATATTTTCAAAAGACAGAAAAAGGAAAGACTGATGGTGTAACAGCTGATACGTTAAGAGAGTTTTAGTTTTGTAGTGATTGACCTATTGGCTTCAGGAAAACCAGTAAATGGAAATTGTCTTATAATTTGTTGGGAGGTCTGCCTCACTGCTAGTACTCATGAACTCATTTTTATTTATTTTTTCTTTAGGGTTGAGCTATGCTAGGTTTCTGCCTGGGATTCTTGTGACCTCTGCGAGCTGTCCTCATTTTTTCAGAATGACTGTAACTCAAGCAGTCTGGTTTTCTTTCTCTGGCATTCAATTACATGTATTGAACAGTCATGTAAAGCGGAATCACTCAAACAGTACCAGGGATAGTCGGCACCAATATGAAAATCAAGAGGGTCATCCATTGGCCGCTCAACTCAAATCGCAGACACGTGAAAGACCTAGTTTTGTTATCCGGGAAGAAATGTGAACCTTTCTTCTCGAAAAGGGCTTCAAAGTGCCGGTCATGGCCCAGCTTCTGATAGCGTCTACTCGAACCGTCGTTGATTCTTAGTACTGTTTGAGTGGTCCCGCCTTAAGACCGTTCAATACAGGTGAAGACAATAAACCGCTTAATGGAGGTGACCGCTTAATAGAGGTGAAAGTTACAGTACTTTAGGGAAAACAAAATTCCGGACTTTAACAACTGACTGTTGTTGATGTTGATTTTATGGAGTATGCACTGTAGGTTAATTATCACCATTTAATTAATATTAACAGATCATCAAAGGTTAAAAAATTGAAGGGTATAAATTGATGTGAAATTACGTTAAATTTAGAAGGATAATTGTAGAAGAATTATTCAGAATTTGAGGCTTGTTAAGTTTTGTGGTTGTGGCTCGAACAAAAGAGAATGCTGAAAAGCAAAACTTGCAAATGTTCTGCAAAAAATGCAGCTCCAACAAGGATCCTTAACTTTTATAATCAGCTAAACGTCCGCATCTGCAGTGACAGCAGAGAAGTATTAACCAACTTATTCTGTGAGGTGGATCTGGCCTTAATGCCAGCCAAGACTGAAGGATTTGGAGTCAGTGCTCTTGAAGCCTTATCGGCTGGTTTACCTGTACTTGTCAATAGTAATTCAGGACTTGCAGAAGCTCTGAAGGAGGTGCCTTTAGGATCACAGTGTGTGGTCGACTCTGAAGATCCTAAAGAATGGGCGGAAAAGATCAAGGAGGTACGACAAAAAAAAGGGAGGTGCGACTTTCAGAATCAAGGCTTCTGCGTGAAAAGTATTTGGAGAAGTACAGCTGGGAGGAGCTCATAAGAAGTCTTGTGAAGAGGCTGAACAGCCTCGCATTTGGTAAGTGAGTCTCTGCATCAGTTTTTGGGGAATCGGAAAACTTGGTCACCAAGAAGTTTCATGTGGAAGGACAGCCCCTTACTTGGCCTCGGAACGTACGGTGATGGCAGCAGCCTTGATGATGACAAAGACAGCGATGACAGTGGAAGGACCATGGTGTTGGATCTACCATTCCTTGGGGCAAACTATGGTTCCAAGAAGGACCTGGTGGAGACGCCGCTTCATCTTGCCGCCCGGCACCCAAGAGCGGATGTGGCTAAACGTCTGTTGGACGACGGAGCGGATGCGAATGCACGTGACCGTTTCAATCGCACGCCCCTCCATTTGGCCATCGAATATGATGCACAAGGTGTCTTCCAGGTAAATAACACATAGTATTCACCTTGATTTAGGAAAGCAAGTGTTATCCAACAAAATTCCATTCATCATCATCTAGCATTCCCGCGATGTGTTCTATTCCAAGTGGATTAAATTTTGACTAATATTTTTCTCTGGTATCTCTGACCGACTTCATTTCTCCATGCATTCAGCTGTTGATACGGAATCGTGCTACAGACCTCGAAGCCCGAATGGACGACGGTACCACCCCGCTTATCCTTGCAGCAAGACACGACCTTCTAAACCTGGTGCGGTACCTCATCAAAGCCGGAGTCAAGGTTAACATTGCTGACAATCAAGGTGAATTTCTGACCCCCTTTTTCGGTTTCTGGAATAGGATAGATTTAAACGTTGGTATCGAATTCTGACAGCTTTGGATGTTTCCAATAGGGAAAACAGCCTTGCATTGGGCTGCGTCAGTGAACGGCCTGGATGTCACCAAAGAGCTGTTAAAAAATGGCGCTAAGAAAGACGTGCAAGATGAAAAGGTTTGTAGAATTCAGATCTATTTTTCATGTGAGCTTTGTTCGCAGTAAGCAAAGGAGTTTTATTTGACTGCATATCTAGTCAAATTCACCGGATATTTGCAATGTAAATTGATCGTAAAAGTTGACGGTCGATACATGCGATCACTTTACGTGGTCGTTGAACTCCTATGCGCAAGATACTGTGGGCTTTTCACTGGTGGCCCATCATGGCTTGCAGGGAAAGCTTTGCTCACTGACCGTGCCTGTATGGAAAAGGTTCGCTTGTTGTTCGCAGCATCCAAGGGATGGATTTTAGCGGGTGCGTAACGCGATCGCTGAAGTCGCACAGCAATTTTAGGGTGAATTTAAAAGGAATACAGTCAAAGATGACCTTTTTTGTTTCAATTATTTGGTTTTTTATGGTGATTGGTGTTAAAGTGATTTGTAATCCATTTCAAGGGTCAAACTCCGTTGTTCCTGGGTTGTCGTGAAGGCAGCGCAGAGACCGTGAGACGATTTTATGAACATGACACCTGAGGATATCGCTGAACAAAGACATCATCGCGACATTGTCAAATTGCTAACGGATTTGTCACTCGGCTGTAACTCTCCCAATGCAGTTCCAGCCCCTACTTTACTCCCGAGGGGCAAAAATCGCCCATGGTTAGCATAGCATCTCTTCTGGCAACATCGCCACCAGCTGCCGAAATTCCCAATGGTAGCGCGGCAGCCATGGAACAAAAATTCCACGCGGCGCGTCAAAAGGCCACAGTAAGTAGAACGTCTGGATCGAGACCCAGACCGAGAGCAACCGGAAATAAAAATGACAATAATGCAAAGAGGAAGCGCAAAAAGGCGCGGCTTGACGGGGAAGTGCACCCATCCATGAGTGTCGTCCCGACGCCCTCACCTTATGGGTTCACGCGTGTTCTAATGCCCTGCGCCGCTGGACAGCAACAGCAACAGTAACAGTCGTTTTCGCCAAATTGTGTGCCATTCACGAACGCGCTCTCGCCGTTATGGAGCATTTCTCACGGCATAGCGCCTGCGGATTCAACTATGCTATCACCACTTCAAGCTCCAAGTGGTTGGATGCACAACCGCCTTCACCCACAGCAGGCACCTCCACCGCACTTTCAACAGGCTGCAGTTCAGGCCATCGTTAACTCCAACATGTATTCCCACGCCGGCGGCATTGGCGGATTAGGAAATGTCCTGCCGTTCAGGAAAGACTACCAAAATGACGGTTATTTGATGCACCTACAACAATTGCATCATTTGCCACATCAGCATGTCTCTCCGGCCGACGAAATGCTTCCTGTACATAGCTAAATTTACTAGTAGATTGATAGCGAGAATAGATTCTACATATAAACTTTGTGTGATTCTTGGAGTGAGTTGCGAACCTCGCTAGGGATCTCGATATAGTCGTTAGTGAAGTAAGGGAACCGTGGCATGATACACTTCGGGTCAGCGTGGTGGTAACACGTTGACTCTTTGTTTGAAGCTTGTTTGTTTTTCCAATCTCCATGCAGAGGAAAGTAGTGCTGTTCCTTGTACGAAAACACCAGATCGAATGGTATTACTTTCTGCCTGTGACAAATCGCCCTATGTAAGGTAATTCGGATTCCGGAATCCAGGAAGTTTTTGCATGTGGAATCCGGAATACTGGGTATTGGAATCCAGAATCCAGCTTTTGGAATCCAGAATCTCGCGAAAGAATGAACCCAGAATCCATTCGCTGAAAATCCATTCCAAATCGCATAAATGGCTTTCACGCGCACGCTTTCATGCAACCACGGTCATGCTAAAATGCAGACTTGCGGACCGTACAGACCACGCAAACCGTGCAAACCATGCAGACCGCGCTTTGTTGGGCGGGGAATTTCTCGATTTTGTTTTGCCTCGTAAAATTTCGTCATGTGGTGTCCAAAACTTGGAAACAGTTCATACGTTACCAAAAGAAGTAGAAAAAGGTGTACACACCTGAATCATATAAAATTAACAGTTTAAAAGAAAAACAAAAAGGTGCACAGCCTTCTCGGTCTGCAACCGCTGTACAGTGCAGTGCACTCACGTTGTCGATGGGCATGTAAATTTAAAGGGACTAAAGAGATTGTCTACATAACAACAGCGTCCAAATCCCACAGGATTTACTTGGATTCCAACATAGCGACGGACCACACGTTAAAAACCTTAAGAATCATTGCTCTGGAGAATGTGACTTGACTTGGCTGACCTTATCAAGAAAAAAAGAAGTATAGAAAAGAGAATCTGTTATTCTTGGAAAATTACCGTGTTAATGCAGATCTTTCGCGATTTTGCAAAGGTTTAAGTATGGTTGAGTCGGTTGAACACCTTTTTATGCGCAAACTCATAATGACGAACATCATCGCCAATTACATATAGGAAAAAAAACTTTTCTTAGTCATAGTCTGCTATTTATTTACGACATACACAGGGTGTTATTAAAATTATATCTCAGTTTAAATTTTTCGTCAATACTCTGGTTTTTGTTTAAAAGGAAAGTTAAAAAAGTAATTTGAGATGATAGGGAAATATTTTCGAGCTGTTTTGTTGACAGTTCTCCATGAAGTCAATTTTGAATTACAAAAACTGGCCACCTTTTCCTAGTCGGAACCATATTATTCTGTGCCAAAACAACTTTTTAGTCCAATAGTTATTTACAAATTAAAAACGATAAGCAATGATTTGAACTATTAGTTCTTTTGATACCGCTAAATCACTTGAAGAACCTCGAGGAACCTGAATGAAAGAAATATGGTATGCCTATTCAGAGTTGCTAAAAAGATGTGGAATGAATAAACATTGGACTTAAGAGACGGACAGTCTCAATAGATATTCCTAGAAGAAAAATTTATCCCTTAATTTGCTGTAATATATTTCTTGTAACTATCAAATATTGCTATGGAAATATGAATAGACAAACATGCATTCTCATAACATGTCCTTCAATAACGAAATCCACCATTGAACTCATTCTTAGAAAACGAAATGCAAAAAATTAGGAGCAAACGAGAAACTAAAATCTGGAATCTTTTGTTTCTCTCGTCGTTGACCTTCTCTTGAAGGTCAAATGTTGAGCACTCCAAATCGAATATACATGAAATTGATTCAGCTGATTACGATCCTACTAACAGTCGCCTGAGAAACATTAAACAGATGAGAAAGGTGGATTTCCGCAAATCCCCGTCTCAAGCGACACAAAGTGAGAACAAATTCTTGTGGTTTGAGTGATTTTGATCTACCCCTCTGTCCACTCAACTGTGGTGAAGACACATAGTGTTCTGAGGGTATCTCATCATCACCTGACAGCCAGTACCTGACATTTTCTCCATTATCTCCTGGATTTAAATATTCATAGGATGCCACGAATGCTTTATAGTTAAAAAAGCCTGAATAAAACAACATTGCCTCATCAGAGCTAAACAGACTTAATGAGAAGACGTTTGACTGAAGCACTTGATTTTTGTCTTCCAAATCTGAAACTTTTTGTTTTTGAGATCTGCGTATTTTTGTCTAAGTAGCCTTAATTGTTTGAGGACCTCATTCAGATCCTTTTCAGTGGAAGGCATTTCACTAGGGCCGGGATTGGTGATCTCTAAGATGGTTTCGTTATTAACTGTTTCAGGAATACTGTTTGCTGCTTCAGGTATTTTGCTGATTAGTATTTCAGGCTCCGAAGATACTGAAAAAGACCCTCTTTCGGGGACAGATTCCCCCTCTTTTCGCTGTCGTTGATAGGGCCTTTCGTTCGGGGGCGGCCGCTTGCACGATTGAGTTTGCTTCTGAGCAAATATCGAGGGAACTGCACTTGTCTTAAGTGGCATAAGTCCACCAAGATCCTGTGATAGGTCGCCAAGCTTAAACTGTAAAGAACACACTTTTGATGCCTCGGAGATGCGAAAAAATCTACCAACATCTCTACGTATAGCATGTATCCATCTTCATTTTCTCTTCGTCTGGAATTTTAAAGAATCCAATTCGTTCTCCTTTGGTCCAACACGCCCTCTTTGCCTATATAATGGTGCACAACAGTGAACATTTGACTTCGGCGCCATTTTTCTTACGATGCCTCCTGAGCCTCGTTTTAGTGAACTCGGTTCAGGTCTCAACCTTGCGTCCGCCATTTATGAATAGGGCGTATATTCATGTAACTTTGCTGGTATTGTGTTAGGATATTGTGTAAATACTAATGTGTTGAAAATCTCCGAGGCAGTTGTCAATCATTTACGAAGACCCTATGCAGTGAATACAGTTATTTGAATTATCATTGATTGACGACTGATCTTTTCCTTTTGTTTTTTCTAAGCAATCACCGAAATTTGCCTACCTGGTAATGTGGAACAATCCCTCCTGTCAGCGTCGTGCGATGCCAAAGAGATTGTTCATCAACTGAAGGAGAACCTGCAACTAAACAAAGACGTTTTTGAAAGGCCAGACTATAACGCCAAGAAAATAATCCGTAGTCTGGCACACAGAGCAAAAGATTTAAAAAGGCTTGATGTCTTCGAACATTTAAGAGAGATTGCACCGGCTGGAACTACTGGTTAGTTACTTATCTTGCGAAACCTAACCTGCCATGAAACTATGGGATACGTTAGGGTAATGCAGAAATCAAATCAAATTCACGAAGGAAACATAAACTCCTAGAAATTTTTGATATGACAACCACCTACGAAGTGGATATTTGACCTGATGAACTACCTTTCTAAGGTATCTTCATTATGCGTTGGTAGACTTACTAGCCGCTCCCTAAGAAAGACTGACCAGTAGTGGGTTCAAGGTGTTTGTTTACGCTAAAAACAATTTTTCATGTGTGTCTCTGATGATTTTTCAACTATTCATCTTCCTATATTAACTAAAGGATTATTTTTCTATTATTAGGTCCTTTTTTGGCGGAAAACATGCCTGTTCAACACATGCCAATCACTAAAGCAAGGGAACTTTCAATCCACTTATCTGGTAAGTTTTTCTATTTATCTAGCAAATAGTTTTGGATGAAAATTTCTTGCAAGCACAACTGTATTTTAATTCATGTCCATTCTTAGTTTGAAATGTCAGTCCCAAGTTCAAGACCAAGTTAACAATACTCTTTAAAGAAGACTAACTTGAAAATTTTAAGCGGGTTTTTACCATCTTCAAAGGCTGTTTACCATAATTAATCATAGGCGGACACAGTCAATGTGTCATTTAGCTCACTTTAACTGCGTGCCATTTCACTCGCTGTCGTGCCTTTTCGCTAACATAAACTGCGTATTGTTCTTGTTGACACGCACATTTATTTTTGTCGTGCTCTTTTTACAAAGGAAAAATTTAATAAGTCGTGCCATCGAACACGCCGCTCTGAAACCACCGTGTCTTTTCTCTCACTGTCTATTGTTTAGGGTGCCATTTCACTATGCCCGTGCGTTCACCTGAACACGACACGTTTTTGCGTGGGGGTCACATTTGGTTGAAAAAATATTCTATTTTATGCAATTTCTAATTCTTGATACATATTCAGAATATTGTTATAAGGAATAACGACATAACAAGAATCAAGCAAACAAACAAATAAAAAACCCTTTTGATATAAGTGGCGATGAGTGGATGAAGGTTGCGGAAGGACTGGGACTAACTCCATCAGAGATTCGTTTTCTTGACAAGCGTACACTGAACCCAATTGAAGCAGCTTTGTCTTTTATCATTAGGCAGCGCTTCCTAAGCGTGGGTGAGCTCTACGAATTGTTGAATGAACATCACTTTCCTATGTTGGCTGATCTTTTGTAAGAAGATTGTCTGACCTCGGCATGTTGTTGATCTTAGGTAACAGTCAATCTGAGTTCTTCAAGAACCCGACATGCCTAAATTTTTGAGCTTATATGTTTTGTTTTGCCGAAAAAAAGTAGGAAGTAAGGTACAGAACCCTTCACTGCTATGCACTAAAAGGCTTGAGAACCGATACACTTGGTAATGTAACTCTAGCTTCATGTGCTGTACTTTTAAGGAGTTTTTCGTTCGGTTCTATGCCTTGTCTAGTAGACAAAGGGCTGCTAACGCCCATTGCCATTGCTTTTCGGTCATCGTTAGTCGTAGGACAGATTAACAAAATTCAACCACCGCAAAGCGGGACTCCGCTTCGTTTATTACAGATATGATCACGGACCGAATTGGACGGCACTAAGTATTGTTACCAATTAATCCTAATCATAGCAATTTCCGAGAAAAGTAAAGTAGATTAATTGAAAGAGGGGCTTGTAATCCTAATATTGAATCATGTCACCTCAAGGAAAGGGACACTGAAAAGCTCTAAACACATTGTCCCCAGCTTGGGATGGTAAGCCATTGCCATGGTTACTCAAATCAATTCAGTGATTGATGGATTCATTTGAGTATACCAATTTGATCGATCACAACGTCCAATTACAACCCCACAGATTTATTAGTGAAAAGTAGAGGAGTTCATTCACCAATCACATTCGAAGAAATTGTAATGGTTATAATTTATAATATAAGGAAAACTTGGTGTAGGCGTTTTATAGAGTACTTAAATATGCGTAAAGTCGGAGTCGGTGATGTGGAAGCGAAAGCACTCGGAAAAATTCTCCAGTCAAATCACACTTTGACTCATCTGTGTTTGGCTGTCAATGAGATAACTCCTGTCGGAGTTGAAGCTTTAGCAGACGCTCTAAGGTCCAATAAAATATTGGAGGACTTGAATATCGAAGATAACGTCATTGATGATGAGGGGGCCGAAGCACTCGGAAAAGTTCTCCAGTCAAATCAGACTTTGACTAATCTATGCTTAGCTGATAATAAGATATCACCTATCGGAGTTAAAGCTTTAGCAGAAGCTTTGAAGTCCAATAAAATATTGGAGAGCTTGGATATCGGAAATAACGATATTGGTGATGAGGGAGCCGAAGCACTTGGAAAAGTTCTTCAGTCAAATCACACTTTGACTCATTTGTACGTAGCTTATAATCAGATAACACATATTGGAGTTAAAGCTTTGGCAGAAGCTCTGGGGTCCAATAAGATATTGGAGAACTTGAATATCGGAAATAACTACATTGGTGATGAGGGAGCCGAAGCAATTTCTCAAGTCTTGGAGTCTAATCGAACCCTAAGGGAACTGAATGTGGATATTAGAGCACAAGCCTTTTGCCCACCACATCGCCAAATTGGTGATCAAGGGGTAAGAGATATAGCACATGCTCTCCAATATAACAGTTCGCTGACTCGCCTAAGTATTTGTGGTCATAGTTTTAGTAACTCATCATTCGCAGCGCTTGGAAAAGCCCTTCAGTCAAACTGTTCTCTGACTCATTTATACCTGCGGGGTTTTGGAACTGGCCTTACCGGACATCACTTAGTTGATGGTTTATCATTTGAAACCTTTTCAAAGGCTCTTCAGTCACGTGGCACTCAGATGACCCATTTAGATCTAGGTAACCTCTCAATTAGCTCATCACGTGTAAAACCCCTAGCACAGGCTCTAAGTGTCAATGGCACTCTAAAACGGTTAGATTTGAACAATAACGAAATTGACTGTCCAGGCGCAGTAACTCTAGCACAGGCACTGAAAACAAATCAAAGCCTGATTCGATTGCAGCTGAGAAACAACAAAATCGGTGATGCTGGAGCTAAAGAATTTGTAGAGGTTCTTCAGTGCAATAAGACTTTGATGTTTCTAGGCTTGATGAACAATCGGATGACTAAGTCAGGAGAAGACCTCTTCAAGGTTTTGGGTGGCCGATTGAAATTGAGCGAATCGTCCGTCTTCAGCTGTGGCGTAGAGTGGATTAGGAATTAATGAGCATTACTTGCGCGTAGAATTTGTCAGACTGTTACAATGTCGGCCCAAAACAGGACTAAAATGAAAATGTAAGAAATGATGGAAAGAAGGTGGTTACATGTACAAACCGAGTACTCTAAAAAACACGAAAGGCCAACTGAAATTGTGATCACTCAAGCATCACTTGATGGATGCAAATCAGTTAGCATAGATATTTTCGTCTTGATCTAACATAGTAAAAATTTGGTTTTTCGGCTTTTTGCTTCCAAATTGTAGGCCCATTCGTGTACAAACAGGTAAATATTCGTGTTCCATTTCCCTGATTCATGAAATATTTTCAAAAGACAGAAAAAGGAGAGACTGATTGTGTAAGAGCTGATACGTCAAGAAAGTTTGTAGTCTGTAGTGGCAGAATCTGAGCGATGCTATGATGACGGCTGAGTTATTACATTTAATCGTTGTGTGAAATAACCGTGATCGACCTATCAGCTTCATGAAAACCAGTAAATGGAAATTGTCTTTTTATTTGTTGTTGTCTGCCTCATAGTTTAGTCCTCATCAACTCATTTTCGGGTGGAGCCGTACTAGATTTCTGTCAGGTATCTCTGTTACCTCTTTGTGAGCAGTCCTTATTTTTTCAGAATGACTGTAGCACAAGCAGTCTGGCTTTCTTTCTATGGCATTCAATCACCTAAATTGAACGTTCACGTAAACCGGAACTACTCAAAAAATACTAGGGATAACTCTTCTTTTTTGTCAGTGTCTTGCATTTGAATCACAAAACTGAAGAGACGTCATCTCATTTCAATGAGCCAACTTCATTATCAACGTTACCTTAGATGTATTTAAGACAAGGAATGACAGTTTTGCAGAGTTTTCAAAATCTTTTAAGGAAACACCGGCTATTAGATGGTTTGCTCTGAACCTGGAGTAGAGTAAATTACATGCAAAGTTAAAACAACCGGCTAAATTTTTCCAAGGTCACTTTCCTAATACTAGCACGTATTTTCTATGCCTAAAGCTGGGATGAGGTCCGTCACTTTTACCAAGAAGCAGAAGAACGAGGAGTAACACTCAATCAATTCAATCAATATAAAACAGCGTGTGAACTCGACATGATAAATGCAATATTTACAGCGGACATTGCATTTATCATGGTCTCCAAGCCCCTCGTCCGGGTAGAGTGCTCAAACGTTTGTAAACTCAGAGAGGAAAAAAAATATATCATAAAACAATTATTGAATTTGGTTTTCGCATGATATCGTGCTTAACTTCATTAGATAAATACTTAATATCTTTTGTAAGTTCCAATAGATTTGATTTTTTATCTTTTTATGCTTCTACACCTTTTTTTTGTAAGAATGTCAATTTTAGTGGCTGAGGATGAACGTTGTTTTTTTGCAATTCGAACCTGAAAACGTGCTTAAAAAGTTCTTAAAAGTGTTCGTAGTAGAGAAAAAGTTCGACTACAAACTGAGTTGTTTTTCAGTGTATCGTCGGTGAAATAGGAAAACGGCGAAGTCAATGTTAAAAAATGTCCGTATAACATGAGTTTAACGTCCTGCTAGACCACAGTTTTCCATTTCTTTTCTTCTCACAGAAAGAAAAAGCGAAATAAAGACGTTCTTTACTGACTCTCAGCCTGGGTATGTTCTGAGGATGTTCTTGAAATTTTGGTTAATCTTAGCTCGTAGCTTAGCTTAGACCGTTCTTACAAAAATATTTTTACAAAAAAAAAGAGTGGAGTATCTTTTACTGTTTATCAGTGCCAGTCCGCTCAAGATAACAAAAGTTCTGATTACCTCTTCCTAATAGTTAATGGCGTTATTTGCAGCGTGTGAACTGGGTATTTTTAACCTTTTTCATGACTTCAAGACTCCTTATATCGAGAGGGAAGGAAGATATCATACTAGATAATAAATCAAAAGAAAATTGCATGTTTATGTCGTGTTTAAAAGGACGATGTGTTTTAATTTATTCTCAATAGCGTGGAAAAAGAAAAGTAATCGTTATGTAGCAGTAGTCCATTTTAGGTAGTTTCTTTTATGTAGTCCATCGGCGTTGTCCACGGACTGAGGGTCGGTGTTTTTGTGCATTATTCAAATGTTTTCCAAGCTTCGACAACCTAACCGGCTTCTGAACAGTTTTTACAAGCTCGGAAAATATGTCCACTAAGAAATCAAAGTAATTTTCGGAATCGCGACATTTCAAAAAACAACAAAACATTTGAAGTTGCCGACGCCACAATGGTGAGAGATTTGATCGAGATACACTTAAACCTCCATTTATGGTCACCTCTCCCAAGCACCTCCCTGGAGACAAAAGTTCCGAATCATCCTACCCTGGAAAGTTATAAATTTAAAGTCCTCAAAGAATGCGATTTCCGACATCTTGAGACCGAGTTAGTGTGTTACAATGCCTCACTTTATCATGTCAGAATGCTGCTCTTTTCCATCGAAGAAAAAAATTCCTTGGCAACATTAAAATGATCGCCAATCACGTTTCCCTGCAATGCAAAAAGTTATAGACAACTTTGCAGACAGATACATTATCATTTACTGTATTTGTTCTGTCACGCGTGTCACGCGTCTAGCGTTACCACACAGTTTAGCATTGTAGCAAGGTATCATGGTATTGATTTTCCATGTGATTTAGGGATTGTCATTGTATTGTCGTGCTCGCTGGTGAAAACCCTTTCTCGTTTCACCGCGAAAATTTACTTCGAATAAATCTGGTTACACTGACTGATGAAGGATTTACGTCTCTTTTGTTACGGTGAGCAAACTTATGGATCAGGGTCCAAAGGATCAGAACAGTATTCATTAACCCTTTAAATCCTAAGATCTAATTGTTAATTCTCCCCTCGAGCTGCTACACATTTCCTTGTGAATTGGGTACAAGAATTTAATGTTAGATCACGATAACAACTTCTGCCTGATAACTTTGAGTTTTCTCATTACCTGTTTTTGTGGATGATGTATGGATATTATAAGGAGAATTAACATGTTTATCACTTCAGGGAGTTATAGTTAATTACATTTGCAATATTTTTGACGTGAGATATCTCAGTTTTAGGAGGCTCGACCAAATCCATCCTCCCCCACCCCACCCCTCTTTAGTCCACCAGAGAAATTAAATTTACTTTCACCACAACGCGACACGTTTTAAACGGGTAGTTTTTTTTTTTCAATTTCGTTTATCATAATCATGGTCATTCCCCAAACTGGTACCTAACGTCAGTATATGAAACTTTGAAAAATTTAGAAGGAGCCAAATATCAATAAGCTTTAGCTGATATTGACAGTCTTATTTATTTACTTATCTTTTGTGATTATTTATTCATTTATTATCATTTTTTAATGCCTAAACTACTTATTCTCCCGAAGACACGGTTTGCAAGACTTTCCCGCTAGAAAGCTCGTCATGTAATCGTCCCGTTTGTTGCTCTCCCCATCCGTTAGCAACACGCGATAACGAGACACCAATGGGAGGGTTTTGGCTTTTGCGCATTCACCTGCGCATTTGATCACGTGTTGGACGTTACATGGCGACTCAAAGAGGAGGACTTCCTTGAGCGTGATCGCAACGTTAGCGAAAATATATATCGTCGATTTTGGTTGAGATCTGAGCTGTCTAGAGTTGAGGTCTAATGAGTCCTTACTTCAGTCCTCGCACGCAACGATTCAACACAAGGTAAGTTCTGTAATTTGTTATTTCTCTTTGCGTTCATTTTCGGGAACTTTGTTTACTTTACAGTGGAGACCAAAGTAATATTCCACCGTCACTACTTTTAACGTCAGATCACAGCTCTGAAACTGAAAAATAAATGTAAATTAATTTAAAGCATTTAATTCAGTCAATGCACTAAGATGAAACAACAACTTTCAGTTTTGATTCGCTCTAATTGACCTAGTTTAATGAGCATTCTTTGAGAAATGTTCGTTATCAGGGTATTCGAGCCTTGTAGTGAGTCATGTCTTGTTGTAATGTGACCAGATGTGCATGTGGAATGCATTTTGATGGAGTGTTAGCTTTTTTACAGTATTTTGCAAAAGCAATGCAAACGAAATACGGCGAATATCATTATTCGTTCTAGCGATCTCTCGTCGAAAGTACAAGTGAAAATTCGATCGAAAGTTCGAGGCCTTTTAAACGACATTTCGTTTGAACAGGACGCTTCTTCGTTGAATTTTCGTCACGAAGTGAAAATTCGCGGTGGAAAGCGTCTTTTCGATCAATAGTGTTCGAAGTTTCGCTTTGAACTGACAATCGACTTCTCGGAGTGATCAAGTTTGTTTACACATCATGTAACGAACACGGAATATCTCCAAACGTGTTCCCAAACTTTTCATTCACCAAGACACGGTATGAGAACGACTCTTTATATTTGACACCAAACATAGGAGACAAAAGAACTAAACACCAATAAAACATGTGCAATTCAGGGCTCAGTCTGTGCATGACATTGGCAGTAAATTGGGTAAACGGCCCCTAATTTCTTACAATAACTCTGACTAAGATGCATGTGTTTAGCTGGAATTATTTCCCAAATGAATCCAGATATTTTGCACATCAACTTCATTTGTCTGATGTTTAATCAAAGAAACAAAAGGACAAAACAGGACTAAACCATCACATCTGACTCAGAGTTGTATCCTTTTGCGACAATGAAAGTAAATCGAGATGTCTCACAACAGTTCCAACTAAGAGACGAGTAATCAGTATTTGGTGTTAACGGACTTATGTTATATTTTTGGGTTAGAAGAGTTTAAAGACAGGACACATACAGGATGGCAGATCCAACAAAGCAGATTACATGTATATTGATGAGAGCACATGGTAATACAGGCAACTGCTGCGCACTATATGGGCTCACAGAATCATTCCAAAAGCTGAATTGTTGATATAAAACATCTCGATCACTATAACAGAAATAAACTCTCAAGTGGTTGGAATAGTTTTTTACATTAACTTCAATACTCTGACTTTTTAACCAGACAGAGCAGAGAACATGTCTAAAGTATTGTCAAATGTTTGCAATTGAGAAATGCATTTGTTGTTTATTTAATCTTGGTGCTAGGGCAATTAGAAATCACCCGTATTGCTGGTTGCAGTATGCTCTCCAGATATCACAAAACAGTGTTTGTTTAAAGATATTTATTTTTCACAATTTAAAAAAAAATGAACTCTACCTTCAGAGTGTGTAAATTAGGATTAAAGCATTTGGGAAGCAGATGCCAAGTAAAGTGTGTGAAGTAGAGGTTGTGAAATACTTCAACTTGTGCAACACAGAATACTTAATGAGAGGTGGCTGAAAATAACAAATTGGAAAAGCGCCACTTCTGTTCTCTTGGTAATTTTTGCGTAAATTCTGGCATCTTGTGGAGGAGCTTAATCTTTTTTTGAGAATAATTTGTGGCAGTTGCCATGGTAACTGCTTAAAATAGAATGCATTGATGGGTCCGTAATGATTCCAAATGCATAGACAGAACTGATACACTGAGTGTTGCCATCGCTGCAAACAACATAAGTCACATGGAGACTGGAATGGTAGTAGAAAATTCCATGGGAGTTTTAAATCCAGAAGTTTACTCTTTTCAATATTGTTTAAAGCAAGTTACACATAGAGGACCAGAAGAGTGAGTTTCTATCCAATCTGTGAAGCTTCTGGGTGTTTAACTTTCAGTAACAAGGACACAAACGTAGGGAAATGTGGAGCGAAGACTCATGGGTGGCATGATTCAGTCAATGGAACTGATTTCAACTGTTTTCTCTCCCGCATTACACAGTTACAAACCACAAATTCAGCCAAATCCTTTCTAGAAGACTGAACAGTAGCTAGGAATTTTGGTAACAAAATTCACAGAGGAGAATGAATTTTTGCTCTATTAATTCTGAGTCACATGAATACCCTCGAGGAATATCTCACCAAAAGTTCAAGCCTGTCAAAACTGTATGTGCCTCAAAAATTCATAGAAATGTTGTCAAAATTTTGTAGTGGTCAAGAATTTGTAGAAAAGCTAGGAGTTTTGGCAAATTTTGTAAACAAGTGTCTGCATTACTTTTGAACAATACTGTAGTCTTTTTACTGAATCGAATGCATGAGATTTTCTTCTCCTTATTACTGAAATTTCTGAAAATGGTCCAACGATTTCTTGCAGCATGTTGAAATTTTTTTTGTATGCACATTATTACACTGGTAGACCAAGGAAGTGTGGTCTTTATTTGCTGAAATGCATGTACTCATTCATGTTGGTTTAAATTTGCCTAAATTAAAAAATGTGTCATTTTGCCATGCATAACATTGCAGGTGTGAATGAATCCACAGTTTTCATGGCATTATTATCAAAATGTGTAGTTTTTTTATACAATAACTTGAGCAATAAATATCATTCCATAAAAGAATGTGTTACTGATCTATGATTTCAAAACTAACCAAAGAAACAAGTATTGCTCAATTTCCAAATTAGAAAATGAACTCTAACCAGCAGCTGGTTACAGTGTATATTTTAACCAGGAAGTAAGCTGCATATAACTGGGAGCATAATGCAAGGACCAACTCCCTTGCAGTAGGCAAAAAGAGCCATGGCACTTCTCGTAATTAAACTGCAACCACTTTCAATTTGAGCTTATGATTCTCACTGCACTGGAGGCATAATTATAAAATCAAGCATGTCTATCAGATCCCATGTTTGTAGCATGTAAAAGTAGTGTAGCACATAAAAGCCTGTTACTCTAATCCAGTAACAGGCTTTACTCTTAATCTTTTATGACATGAAAGTGATTTCATTTATTTGCAGGACAAACATCTCAATTATTACAGTTCAGGCAAATAATTGATGAAATCCTTTAACTCCTTAGAGTGACTAGTAACTTATTTCTCCTAACAATATCTCCCCTGAATCACACATTAAGGTCATGAGAGTAAAGGAAATGATCACCAACTAAAGAAGCTCTCGATGATTAGCCCTTTAACCTCTAAGAGTGATTGGCTTCTAATTTCTCACTACAGTATCACCCTTGAATCAAATGTCAAGGTGATGAGAATAATAGAAATAGTCACCAATTTCAGAAGCTCCAGATTGTCAAACAATTTCTCCTTGTCATTACCACAGGAAATGTGGAGAGATCAGTGTTGAGAATATCAATACTATTGTTTGGGTGTAAAGGGTCAAACAAATTCCCCTTGTTAGTGTAACAGAGTGAAGTAGGACTTGTGTGACTTAGAATTGCATGACAATATGGTCATTTGGTTAAAGAATATTTGTAGGATTTTGCAAATTTAGTCTTTGAAATGGGAGCCCTTTTTTGGGGGTCTCATGTTTCAGTTCTTCAGAGGTTTTTGCTTCTGTCTTGTGTACTTCAAGTCTAACAAACTGTAAAGCTCATTTACAGAAAATAAATGCCGTTGGGTTTTGAGAGGAATTTGGGATTTGCATCAGTATTCCTTTATTAACCCACTGCTACAACAGCACCTCTGGAAATGATTAAGGAATAGTATAGAGAGTATGCATACTAATGCTGGGTTGTAAAGGGTTAATTCCTTACATCTCATTGGAACAATGTTTTTTACACAGTTACTTTCAGGGGTAAGAGAGTCATGTTGGGACTCAAGATCTCAGTGGAATCCTTACCATGCAAGGGATATTTTCTGTGGATGACAAGACAGAATGCAAGGTAATACTGGTTCAGTTTTTCCTCTTTGGTATTTGCTTACTCCAAAAAGTTATCATGTAAAAGTTTCCTTCAAGTGTGTGGCTTTATTGATGCTACACCCCTTAGAGTTTATTGACATTAACTATATGAAGCTGTTTGAGTTTCCTCACCCACAGTTTTCCCTCTATAATTTTCATTTGTGGTACTGTTCCAATTTTTGTATTTTCCCTTACACTAATTACTTATTTGTATTTCTTAATCTTTTAATTTTCTCTCATTTGCCAACTGTATTTAGTCCATGTTGTCCAGTGAAGTAAAGTGAACAAAATGACTTGAAATTCACAATTTTTCCTTCTTTACTTGTAGCTTCAATATTCAGCACTAAAGGTCTCTTGTGATGTCTGGGATATCAAAGGTAACAATAATGACTTTTGTGATAACTGAATCATCTTGTAGGTTTGTGTAGTTTCCTTTTTACCATAATGGAAACACCTGCCAAAGCAGTACATGTAACTTCCACTGTCTGTTAAAGGTTCTATTAATAAATCATTAGACTTTCAAAACTGGAAAATTAAATGATATATTGATTGGTTATATTTTTTACAACCAGCAAATAAAGTAGTCACTTACCAGTACATGCAGAGTTTCAAAAAGAAAAGAAGTTAATAGTCTTATAGAGGAATATGTTTGTTATATGCATTCTATGCATAGTTACATTGTACTGTACATGTATGTATGTAGAAGTCAGGAGGCTGATGAAACTTTGAAATGATGCGTCTCATACATGTATCTGACTTTGTGCTATAATGAGCCCCTCCTGCAAATTTAGAAAGAAATTGATTTATAACATATTGCTGCTGCAATTTTTTGCCAAGGAGCTACTACTATAATGGTAAAAATCCTCATGTAGGCACAGCTGTGCACCATAACATGAGGTGTGCAATTTTTATACATGACTTAGTATTAGCAATTCTGTATTCATTGTGGGTCAAACTTGTTAATTATTTTTAAGACTTCATGTTTTGCTTTGGTAGGATTTTGACATTCCTAGTGTAGCCTCAACCTCACAAGAAGGCCAAAGTAACAGGAGACTGAAAGTCACTTTGCTAAGCAGAGAGTGGAGATCATCAACTGATGGAGACTTGTCAACCATCAACAGAGAGCTCGCCATACAGTTAGCTAAACACTCTAATGTGGAAGTTAGTGTCTTTCTTCCAGAATGCAATGAAGAAGACAGGAATGATGCAGCACATCATCATGTGCAGCTTGTTAAAGCCAAAAAAGTGATTGGTTGGAATCCAGTTGACTGGCTGATTAATGTCCCAGATGGACATGTCATGGATTGTGTAGTAGGACATGGTGTAAGCCTTGGCAAACAAGTGCAGTTTATTAGAAAACATCACCACTGCAAATGGGTCCAAGTTGTTCACAGTGCCCCGGAAGAACTTGGAATGTACAAAAGCATTCCACAAGGTGGACAACAGCAAGAAGCAGAAGTAGAGTTGTGTAACATGGCTGATCAAATCATAGCAATTGGACCCAAGCTGGCAGATGCTTACAAGCATTACCTTCGTTGTAGTAAAAAAGACCAAAATGTCTTTGATCTCACTCCAAGCATTTTCTCTGAATTTTTGAATGTTGAGCAAGCCACTGAAGAAGGAAGCACTTTCAGTGTTCTTGTTGTTGGAAGTGGTGACACTTGTGAAGATTTCATATTGAAAGGTTTTGACCTTGCAGCTCAAGCAGTTGCTGAGTTGAAAGATAAGTCCTACAAACTCAAGTTTGTTGGTGCACCAAGAGGGAAAGAAGATGAAATAGCAGATAAGTTGCTTCAACATGGTATTGATCGTAATCAGCTAATTGTCCGCAGCTTCAGTGACAGTAGAGAAGTATTAGCTAACTTATTCTGTGAGTCAGATCTTGCCATAATGCCATCCAAGACTGAAGGATTTGGAGTCAGTGCTCTTGAAGCCTTATCTGCTGGTTTGCCTGTACTTGTCAGTGGTAATTCTGGACTTGGAGAAGCTCTGAAGGAGGTGCCTCAAGGATCTCAGTTTGTGGTTGACTCTGAAGATCCAAAAGAGTGGGCAAAAAAAATCAAGGTGGTACAACAGACAAAGAGGGAGGTGCGACTTTCAGAATCAAGGCTTCTACGTGAAAATTATCAGGAAAAGTACAGCTGGGAAAAGCCCATTAGATGTCTTGTGGAGAGGATGTACAGTCTCACATTTGGTAAGCAAGCCTGTGCATTGGTTTTTTGGGAAATAATTTTAATTAAGACAAGTGATTTAATTGATACCAAGTACATGTACTCTTAATCACAGTCAAAACATTTAGTTTTTCATCATTTTATACACCAAGTCAGGTGACAGGGGTTCTTTATTTCAGTTGCGTGATAAGGAAAATGAAAACTTGAGATTTTGAAGAGGTTTATTTTGCTAATTAAATAAAAATTTAATGAGGTGAGGTGCCTTTAGCTAAGGGGATATTCTTGGTTAGCAGTCATCTTCGCATTTGAGGGCACATGAGTGGTCAAAAAGTGGCTGTCTGCATGTGTGGGTGCCCTTGGACCATGGAAAGGCTGTGGCATCCTCCACCTGTGAGCTATTCTCTCTGTTCTGACTTTATGGCTAGCTTGCAGAGTCTCAGTTCAGAATTGGGACTTATGACTGGACTGGGTTGCAGAAATTTGCCATCTGTGACAGTAACTGTACAGTATCTTAGAGATGTTTGGCCACAGTAGAAAACCCTGTACACCCAAGACATCAACCTTACATTTAAGTGTGATGACAGTCCCTGTACATCTTCAGAAATGATTCCCACTGATTTCAACAAACGCCATGTACCAGCAGTCTACCACTCATAAAAGACCACTTACCATTGTCTGCTTAGCCTGCAAAGAGGCTCTTGTGTTCGGGTATACTGCCACCTATAAGAGAGCTCAGTACTGTCTGTTTTTCCTGCAAACAGGCTCTTGTGTTTTGCTCTTTTACCACCTGTAAGACCTTTCACCAGCATCTGTTTAGCCTGCAAGCAGGCTTTCATGTTTGGGTTTTGCCTTATGGTCCTTTTCCAGGCACAGCTGCCTTTTCAGCTGTCACTTGTGAAAATGTTACTGAGACACCTGTATGTTTTGAAATTAAATGCTGGGATGTTAGAACGTCGTCGTAATAAGGTCAAGGAGTAGGTCAAGAAACAATCTAGGAATTTCAGACACCTCTAGCTGTGGCCACCATGTAGAAGCCAAACTGTGACACAGTGATCAATGCTGACTGTGAAAGACTACCACAGTCAAGCTAAGAACACATTTTCAAAAGTTTCCCTAAATTCTATTAATAATTAAGCCAAACAAAAAAGAAATGGCTCTTGATTCGAAAAAAAAGTTGTTTATTGTAAAGACTGACTAATTGATAAAAATCAAAAAAGTAAAAAAAAAATGATGAAAATGAAAGTTTTAGCCTGATCAGGAACAGGAATACTTGGAAAAGAAAAAATTATGAGCTGCCCATGAAGAGAGAATAAATGCAAATGAGTGTCCACTGAATTCTTCAGATCCACTGAGCTGTTGTAACTGCAGTAGTTGTTTTAAAGTAGATGTACATACTTGTACAGAAGCAATTAGATGAGGTTCTTCTGAGAAAGTGGAAGCTTTTTGTACCAGAAGATGGTGAAAGACAGAGGTAAATTTGATATTTACCCTTCTGAGGCCATTACCTTGCTTAAGAACTAATTTTACCTGTGGACTCAGTATGATCTGTTGCTATTTTTGAAAGGAAAACACAAACAGACCATTAATTAAGTGAATTGTTAGTTAATAAATACTTAATGTCAAAAGAAGCATGTTCTAATTGGTTATAAATTTGTGATTGTGCACCATGATAATTAGGAAGCAAACCCGTCATTGCAACTGGAGATGAGAGGCCAGCCTCTGTTATGTTAGATTCATGATCACTATTCTAAGCAATTCAGGGAAAAACTGATAAACTATCATCACCTCTGAGGTAATATTAAGATGTTCAATGATGTCAATTTTCTTGTTAATTTTCAAATGAGAACTGAGAAACTATAGTCACCTTGGAGGTAATATTAGGATGTTAAATGATGTAAAATTTTTTGTTTATTTTTGAATGAATCCCAAACTTGTATGCCTCGGAAAGCTTACCAGTGGGCCATGATATTTTTAAAAATCATTCTTTTGTCCTTCCCGGGACTAAGAGCTGTAGTTAACTGATGTTGTGTCTCTTTTTGCTCTAAAAGGCTCCTCTGGTGATCACTCATTTCATTCATCCATGGAATATGGACAGTGTCCTTTTCCTTCAACCTCAGTTCCTCAAGACAACCTTTTTCAAGAGAGAAGTTACTCTCAAAGTAAGCAAAATTTATGGTGAAGTGTTATTACTACACCTTTCAGTTTTCCATGTAAAGCAAAGTTTATTATTACTCTTATTGTATTTCCTATTATTATTATGCTTTGTTTTCAGAGACATAAACTGTGCAGTGTTTGTAAATGGTTAAGTTTGTATCCTCTAAAGAAATGTTGCAAAACACTGAGGAAATTGTCAAAAAGGGAACATATAAAACTGTTTGCCACTGGACCAGTGTTAAATTGATTTGTTATATGGCACAACAAAGAAAGTAGAGGACACAATATGGAAACAAATCAATTACAAATTACCACAATGCTACAATTTCACATTACCTTCACCTTAGCCTCAATCACGCTGTGTTCACGTGCAGTGGCGGTCGTTAGTCAATAGTGGCCCGTAACATTGCTGTTACCCTCTGACTTCATAGATTTTAGGATTTATTTTTGGTGAGATACTTTTGACAGGTGACCCCAAAGTAACCAATGCAAGAACTCATGAAAGGGTTAGGGGCACTTTCCAGAAGAGTTTATATAGGCAGGGAATAAGGGGGGGTTGGGATTAAGGGATGGAGTGTGAAGTTTAGACTTTGTGAGGGGGATTTTTTTACAATCTTCTTAGCTTTTAACAAAGTTATAAAGTCATTATCTCTGTTCTGACCCTATGGTTGGCTTGTAGAGTCTTAGTTCAGAATTAGGGCTCATGACTAGGTTAAGTTGCAGAAACTTGCCAGCTCTGACATTAGTATAGTCTGCCCTGTATCTGAGAGGTGTTTAGCCAACGTGAAAGCCCTGTACACCCAAGACATCCACCTGACATTTAAGTGTGGTGGCAGTTCCTGTACATCTCCAAAACTGATTGTCACTGGTTTCAATAAAAGCCAGCTACCAACAGTCTACCACTCTTAAAAGACCCCCCCTACCACTGTCTGCTTAGCCTGCAAAGAGGCTCTCATGTTTGGGTATAGTGCTGCTCATAAGAGTGCTTGCTGCTGTCTTTTTTGTCTGAAAACAGGCTCTTATGTTTGGGATATGAAACACGCCACGCCCAGTAAGATCCTTTAGTGTTTAAATACTTGATGTTCAAAGAAGCATATTCTAATTGGTCAATTTGTTATTGTGCACCATTAGGTTTAGGAAGCAGACCCTTTATTGCACCTGGAGATACGAGGCCAGCCTCTACAATGCCAGGTGATGACTATTCCAAACAATTCAGGAGAGAACTGTTAAACTATCATCACCTTGAAGTTAATATTAAGATGTTAAATGAAGTAAATTTTTTTGTTCATTTCTAAATGAGTCCCAAACTTGTATGCCCTGGAAAGCTTAGCAGTGGGCCATGATATTTTTAAAAATCATTCCTTTGTCCTTCCCAGGACAAAGAGCTGTATTTAACTGATGTTGTGTCTCTTTTTGCTCTAAAAGGCTCCTCTGGTGATCACTCATTTCATTCATCCATGGAATATGGACAGTTTCCTTTCCCTTCAACCTCAGTGCCTCAAGACAACCTTTTTCAAGAGAGAAGTCACTCTCAAAGTAAGTGAAATTTATGGTGAAGTGTTATTACTACAACTTTCAGTTTTTCATTTAAAACAAAGTTCATTAATGTTATTGTTATTATTATTACTTTTATTGTATTTCCTATCATTATTAATAATGCTTTGTTTTAAAAGACATTAACTGTGCAGTTTTTGAGTATAGTTAATTTTATATCATTTAAAGAAATGTTCCAAAACACTCAGCAATTGGCAGAAAAGGGAACATATGAAACTGTTTACCATGGGACCAGTGTTTATGCGATTTGTTATATGGCCGACAAAGAAAGTAGAGGACACAATATGAAACAAATCAAGGGCAAATTAATACAGTATTCTAACTGGCTAATTTGTTATTGTGTACTGTTACGTTTAGGAAGAAGACCTGTTATTGCAACCAGAGATAAGAGGCCAGCCTTTACTGTGTTAGGTGATCACGATTCTAAACAATTCAGGGGAGAACTGATAGACTATCATCACTCTAAAGGTAATATTAAGATGTTTAATGATGTCAATTTTTCTTGTTCATTTTCAAATGACTCCCAAATTTGCATGCCTAGGAAAGCTTACAAGTGGACCATGATATTTTTAAAAATCATTCTTTTGTCCGTCCCAGGACAAAGAGCTTTCGCTAACTGATATTGTGTCTCTTTTTGCACTAAAAGGCTCCTCTGGTGATAACTCATCTCATCCATCCATGGAATATGGACAGTTTCCTTTCCTTTCAACTTCAGTGTCTCAAGACAACCTTTTTCAAGAGAGAAGTCACTCTCAGAGTAAGTGAAATTTATGGTGAAGTGTTATTACTACACCTTTCAAAGTTTATTATTGTTATTATTATTACTATTATTGTATTTCCTATTATTATAATGGTTCGTTTTCAGAGAAATTTATTGTGCAGTATTTGTATATGGTTAAGTTTGTATCTTCAAAAGAAATGTTGCAAATCACTGAGGAAATTGTCAAAAAGGGAACATATAAAACTGTTTGCCACTGGACCAGTGTTAAATTGATTTGTTATATGGCACAACAAAGAAAGTAGAGGACACAATATGGAAACAAATCAGTTACAAATTACCACAATGCTACAATTTCACATTACCTTCACCCTGGCCTCAATCACCTGTGTTCACGTGCAGTGGCGGTCATTGGTCAACAGTGGCCTGTAACATTGCTGGTACCCTCTGACTTCATAGATTTTATGATCTTTTTTCCGCTGAGATACTTTTGACAGGTGACCCCAAAGTAACCAATGCAAGCACTCATGAAAGGGTTAGGGGCACTTTCCAGCAGAGTTTATATAGGCAGGGGAAAAGGGGGTTGAGGCTAAGGGATGGAGTGTCCAGTTTAGACTTTGTATAGGGGATTTTTTATGATCTTCATAGCTTTTAAGAAAGGTATAAAGCCATTATCTCTGTTCTAACCCTATGGTTAGCTTGTAGAGTCTTAGTTCAGAATTAGGGCTCATGACTAGGTTGAGTTGCAGAAATTTGCCAGCTGTGACATTAGTATATTCTGCTCTGTATCTGAGAGGTATTTAGCCAATGTGAAAGCCCTGTACACCTAAGACATCCACCTGACATTTAAGTGTGGTGGCAGTTCCTGTACATCTCCAAAACTGATTGTCACTGGTTTCAATAAAAGCCAGCTACCAACAGTCTACCACTCTTAAAAGACCCCCCCCTACCACTGTCTGCTTAGCCTGCAAAGAGAATTACGATCAACTCGTCGACGGTCCAACTCGCCGACGCCAACTCGCCGACGTATAAAATCGAGTAGAGACGTCGGCGAGTTGGTCCTCAATCCAATACAACTTATTAGAAGTTAAACATACAGAAAAGTAAACGATATTTAGTAAAAAAACACTGGTGAACATTGATGAACATCAAACAGAAGCTTAAACAACGGTGAACATTGGTGAACATCACCAATGACTATAACAGCTTAAGACGCGAACAAGTTATTGTGAGACAACAACACCGTACCAGACTCGTACACCAGACTCATCATGTCAATCCCTCAGATTTTTTAAAGAAAACTTGGCTTTCTAGACAAGATATTTAGTAAAAAGCAATTCTTTTTATTTGCAACAAAGTTTATAAGGATCTTAAGGCGAATAAAGCAAAGTAAACATCGCCAATGACTATATCCGCTTCAGACGCGAACGAGTTATTGTGTGACAACAACACCGTTTGTGCTTGACTTTTTACCAAGCGACTTGACTTAAATAAATGAGACCGATTGACATGAGATCCTTATAAACTTTGTTGCAAATAAAAAGAATTGCTTTTAACTAAAGATCTTATCTAGAAAGCCAAGTTTTCTTAAAAAATCTGACCGATTATCATGATGAGTCTTTACAGTGTTGTTGTCACAGTCCCGATAACTCGTTCGCATCTGAAGCTGTTATAGTCATTGGTGATGTTCACCAATTTTAAAGCTTCTGTTTGATGTTCACCGATGTTCACCGATGTTCACCAGTGTTTTTTTTTACTAAATATCGTTTACTTTTCTGTATGTTTAACTTCTAATAAGTTGTATTGGATTGAGGACCAACTCGCCGACGTCTCTACTCGATTTTATACGTCGGCGAGTTGGACCGTCGGCGAGTTGACTGGATACCTGCAAAGAGGCACTCATGTTTGGGTATAGTGCTGCTCATAAGAGTGCTTACTTTCTGCCTTTTTTGCCTGAAAACAGGCTCTTGTGTTTGGGTCTCCTGCGTCCTGTAAGACCCTTCAGTGAATAAATACTTGATGTTCAAAGAAGCATATTCTAATTGGTCAATTTGTTATTGTGCATTATTAGGTTTAGGAAGCAGGCCCTTTGTTGCACCTGAAGATACGAGGCCAGCCTCTACAATGCCAGGTGATGACTATTCCAAACAATTCAAGAGAGAACTCTTAAACTATAGTCACCTTGAAAGTAATATTAAGATGTTAAATGATGTAAATTTTTTTGTTCATTTTGAATTGAGTCCCAAACTTGTATGCCTCGGAAAGCTTACCAGTGGGCCATGATATTTTTTAAAAATCATTCCTTTGTCCTTTCCAGGACAAAGAGCTGGAATTAACTGATGTTGTGTCTCTTTTAGCTTTGAAAGGCTCCTCTGGTGATCACTCATCTCATTCACTCATGGAATATGGACAGTTTCCTTTTCCTTCAACTTCAGTGCCTCAAGACAACCTTTTTCAAGAGAGAAGTCACTCTCAAAGTAAGTGAAATTTATGGTGAAGTGTTATTACTACACCTTTCAGTTTTTCATGTAAAGCAAAGTTTATTATTGTTATTATTATTACTATTATTGTATTTCCTATTATTATAATGGTTTGTTTTCAGAGACATAAACTGTGCAGTATTTGTAAATGGTTAAGTTTGTATCTTCTAAAGAAATGTTGCAAAACACTGAGGAATTTGTCCAAAAGGGAACATATAAAACTGTTTGCCACGGGACCAGTGTTAATGTGATTTGTTATATGGCACAACAAAGAAAGTAGAGGACACAATATGGAAACAAATCAAGTGCAAATTACCACAATGCTACAATTTCACATTACCTTCACCCTACCCTCAATCACGCTGCGTCTACGTGCAACGGCGGTCATCGGTCAACAGAGGCCGGTAACATTGCTCTCTTACCCTCTGACGTCATAGATTTTATAATTTTTTTTTTCGCCTAGTTACTTTTGACATGTGACCCCAAAGTAACCAATGCAAGCACTCGTGAAAGGATTAGGGGCACTTTCCAAACGAGTTTATATAGGCAGGGAAAAAAGGAGGTTGGGGCTAAGGGATGGAGTGTCAAGTTCAGACTTAGTTTGGGTGATTTTTTTGTACGATTCTCTTAGCTTTTAACTGAGGTAGAAAGTGATTCTCTCTGTTCTGACCCCTTGGTTAGCTTGTAGAGTCTTAATTCAGAATTGGGGCTCCTGACTGGGTTGAGTTGCAGAAATTTGCCAGCTGCGACAGTAGCATTCTGCTCTGTAACTGAGAGGTGTTTAGCCAAAGTGAAAGCCCCATACACCCAAGACACCCAGCTGACATTTAAGTGTGGTGGCAGTTCCTGTACTTCTCCAAAACTGATTGTCACTGGTTTCAATAAATGTCAGCTACCAACAGTCTATCACTCTTAAAGACCTCATACCACTGTCTGCTTAGCCTGCAAAGAGGCTCTCATGTTTGGGTATAGTGCTGCTCATAAGAGTGCTTGCTGCTGTCTTTTTTGCCTGAAAACAGGCTCTTGTGTTTGGGTCTTCCGCGCCCTGTAAGACCCTTCAGTGTTTAAATACTTGATGTTCAAAGAAGCATATTCTAATTGGCTAATTTATTATTGTGCGCCATTAGGTTTAGGAAGCAGATCCTTTATTGCAGCTGGAGATACGAGGCCAGCCTCTACAATGCCAGGTGATGACTATTCCAAACAATTCAGGAGAGAACTGTTAAACTATCATCACCTTGAAAGTAATATTAAGATGTTAAATGATGTAAATTTTTTTGGTCATTTCTAAATGAGTCCTAAACTTGTATGCCCCGGAAAGCTTAGCAGTGGGCCATGATATTTTTAAAAATCATTCCTTTGTCCTTCCCAGGACAAAGAGCTGTATTTAACTGATGTTGTGTCTCTTTTTTCTCTAAAAGGCTCCTCTGGTGATCACTCATTTCATTCATCCATGGAATATGGACAGTTTCCTTTCCCTTCAACCTCAGTGTCTCAAGACAACCTTTTTCAAGAGAGAAGTCACTCTCAAAGTAAGTGAGATTTATGGTGAAGTGTTATTACTACACCTTTCAGTTTTTCATGTAAAGCAAAGTTTATTAATGTTTTTATTACTGGGATACCTGTGGTAGCCCAGTCATAAAATGCCTTTGTTTTTTTTGTCGTCTTTTTTTTTTTTTTTTTTTTTTTTTTTTTCCTCCGCCCCAAAATGGAAAAATTGCGCAATAGTACCCAGTGGTCATTGGGCCCTCAACACCATGACAACTAACTGTGATCCAATGAGGGTGAAGGTGTTCACATGCTGATTACGTGTTATCTTGATGATGATTGACGTTGCCATGCACGGACAGGTCCGGGTCACATGACGAGCACGAGATTTTTGCTTAGAAAACTCTTTTGTCGGTCGTTTTATATTTCAACGTGTTTGGATTATGATCACCTGAAGCATTATAGCGCAAACGCTCGAAATACTTACAGACGCATACACAAGTCGTATTGTTCGCGGCCAATCCACACTAAAAGATGTTATTGAGCGGTAATTTTGGACCGGATTGAGTCGCGAACTGTGTATCCGTTGTAGTTTCTGGTGATTTCTGCCGTTTTAAGCTTGCTTTACCATCACTGCTATTCACATCATCTACTTTTATTACGTTGGTAAAATCTGTACAGACATCACACAAACCAACTCGCGCACAAAGTAAGAAGACTATATTGAAGGCTAGAAATTATATTACGATCGATTTTCATCATGAAATGGGCCAGGAATTTTCCACAATAGTGCAAATAATCGTGAAGACTGATCGAGGAAAAGCGATTGCGTGACGCTCGGTAAGCTGTGAGATGACATGTTATTATTTACCAGACGCAAAAACTCTTCAAATTCTCAGTCTGCATTTTGTACCCACTCTGCAGTCTATATTTTGTATCCGATCTGCTGTCTGCATTTGTACTAATAGGTATCTGTGGCACCAATACAGTTTATTTTTGGTTACATTTATTCGCACAACACACATAATCTACCACAAAATATCTGTGTGTGAGGTAATTCGACGTTTTCGTTCTTTTCCACGTTAATACTCTTCTTTCCTTTTGTAAGAATGTAGACCACAAGTAATCCACCCACCCTACAAAAAGTATTTCAGTATACTAATCCGACACCCGTAGTATCACTACACTTGATTCCAAGGATCCAGTACCATCCAGGTATCCCAGTTACCCTGCTCACAGGGTATTGTTTTCCGAGATTAACTCTCTGATAGCTTAGAGGAGACATCTGTTATTTTCAATGGACGAAAGTAGTCATAATTACGTAAGAGAAGAACATTATTTGAAGGTTGTTATTTGCAGTTCACAAAAGGGGCTGAAAGCTAATGAAAGAAAGAGTGAATTGCATCGAACGATATTAATTTCAAACCGTGCATATTAAAACAGCTGTTGTATTGCAGTAGTAACGTCGATCTTGGTCAGGGGCGTCGCCAGGACTTTTTATGGGAGAGGGGAGTTAATCTTTTCCAGGCTAAAAAGCGAGCAGGCAAAAGAAATGGCATGTAAGCGCATTCTACAGTTGTGGTAGTCAGCGTTCTTTCCATTTGTCCTCACGCTGTTCTGCGCCGCCGCTTTTTTGATCCTCTCGAGTGATTGAAAGCGTTGAAGAGGCTAAACGTGGGGGTGCGGAGGAGAGTCTGGAGGAAGGGGTCACGTACGCTTTTTTTTAAAGAGAATTCCTCTGTAAAAATGTGTCACTCACTTAATAAGTTGTATACACTAGTAGTTAGTCGTCCCGCACTCGTTCGAACACGAAACCATATTGGAGTACTATCCGCGCATAAAACGATAGAGATGCTCTGTTACAGTTTACACTAAGGATCATTGCTTTAAATATCACCTTCCAAGAGAACAAAAATTCATCGAGTTTAGGCAGAAACCTAATACATTGAATTGTTTCGATTGTTTATGATCTGATGTAACCGTGATTAACTTCAGTTATCTTATCGAAACATTGGTCGCTGGATCGATTAGAAGCGGACGAAGATAACCCTGTACTTCTCTGACCAGAGAAAACTTGTGGAATTCATTTCCACGTATCTCCAATTAAAATCAGTCAAAAATACTAGCAGTCTCATAAAATACGTTTTGAGGTATTTTCGTTCCGAGGCAGAAAACTTATCAGTTGCAAGTGGGGGAAAACCGTGTAAGCAAAGATGATTGCGTTACATTGCAAACATTTATTGAGCAACTGTGAGGCGAAACGTGACATAGTAATAGAAAATAGCGGAATTTTGCTTGCGTAAGCGAAGAAAGATATGGATCGCAGAAGCTAAATTTGACAAATTTTGCAAACGGAAATTTGATAAACGCAGGATACTATTTTGTGCTGTTTTTGTTGACTATATATGCGTTTATTTTTTGCGGAGTTGGATGTTTAACATAATTGTGGATATCTCCGCGACTTTCTGGAACCTTGGCTTTTATGATAAGAGCAAACCTTGCATTGCTATAAGACCAGTTATTATAAGTGATAACCATGGTTCTTCTCTGGATTAAGTACTTTATGCACAAGTGGGCCAAAGGTATTCTTTGATTTTGTGTCTAGTGTCTTATACCGCTGCCCTATCTTTTGCACAAGCGGGCCCCTGTTTACGCGGCGAAAACTGGCAAATGGAGTTTTTGCCATGCAGATTTTATCGCATAAGTGTGTTACGTGTTGAAATAATTATTATATGCAAAAGTGATGATTGTTAAGTTAACACAGCAGATTTTATTTTATCTCTCCAGATTACCCTGAGAAACTTGTGGCGCTGATTAGACGAGAGTACAAGGGAACAGTATTGTGTCCCTTCCCTTGGTGTGAGGAAGAATTGCAATTCGAACTCTATAAGATTTTTACAAGACTGACTATCGTTTGCCGGAAGAAAGAACGTGCACAGTTGACAAAAGACCCCGTCAAAATGACTGAGGTCTTGAGACCATATAAAAAATGTGAATGTAGATGTGAATGTAAATGTGAACGTGAAAAACCAAGAGTAGTGTTGATCGAAGGGGAACCTGGGATAGGAAAAACCACTTACTGTCAGAAGCTTGCATATGATTGGTCTGTGGGGGACATTCCAACTGAATCTTCTTTTCCTAAAGTGGACATACTTCTTCGGCTGACGTGTCGTGACATGAAGACTGCTAAAATTGAGGATGCTATTGAAGATCAGCTACTACCACGTGATGTCAACGAGAAAGACAAGGAAAATTTTTTCTATTTCATTCGCCATTATCAATCTAGAATCTTGCTGGTACTTGACGGATTGGATGAATTACCGCAGAACCTGTTTAAAGAATTTTTGCCTTTAATTAAAGGAAGAGTTTTACCTTTAACTTATCTCATTATAACAGCTCGACACGAAGTAGGGATAAATGTTCGGCTACACAGTGACGCACTGTTTGAGATTAAAGGCTACACCAAAGAAGATGCAGACAGTTACATCAAGAAGTATTTCAGTTGTCACGACAAATCAAGGCTTGCTGGGAAACTAATCAGGAAAATAAACAACGACTCACAGCTTAGGGAATTGACTGCCAATGCACTGAACACAGCTCTTCTATGTCTTGTTTTTGAAGACACTGGCGGAAGATTGCCTCACAACAAAACCATGTTGTATTGTGAACTTGTTGACTGTGTTCTGAGGCGATATTGTTCTAAGAAAGAAATCCGTTTGTGCGACGAAAGTCCCATAGACAAATACATGCACCAGCTGAATCAGTTGGGCAAGTTAGCTCTTGAAGCTCTGCTGAAAGATCAATTGGCTTTCACTCCAGGGGAGCTAGAGAGTCAGTCAACGGAATTCCTTCAGCTTGGATTTCTTTCTCGAGAAGCCAGTGTAAGCAAAATCAAACCGAAGCCAACTTATGCATTTATCCACAAGACTTTTCAGGAATTCTTTGCCGCATTCCATCTGTCGCTTGAATTGGAAACTGCTGATAGGGACCAGACGGCCCTGCTGACTCAGTTTAGTCCTGTTGATAAGTACTGGCAGGTGTGGAAGTTTTTGATCACAATGGTAGCAGGTAAAAGTGAAGAAACAGCTACTTTCCTGGTTTCGAGACTATGGGCTTCTTTTCAGCGTAAAAAACCTAGGAAATCGGTAAAACGTCAGTATACAAGACAACCTTTAAAATCGAGCGACTCTGAATACGACTCTGAAGACGACTCTGAAGACGACTCTGAAGACGACTCTGAAGACGACTCTAAAGACGACTCTGAAGGTCACTCTGAAGATGACTCTAGAGGCGATCCTCATGACGAGCATGATAAATCATGTAGAGGGGAGCTCTTCGGCCTTTTAAGTGACCATGATATAGAAGTCCGTGAAGATACTATATGGGATGAGGGGAGATGGAGACTGCTGGAGAGAAACTTTGCAGAAACTGATGAGGTTTCCTTTTTTGAGAAAACAGTTGATGCTATTGCTCAGTGTGAACAAGATAATAATAAACTTAGTTCCTGCCAGATTAAAATGGCCCGTACGCTAGCTCATTGTTTTCCTAAGGATGAAGTGATAATGAAGGAAAGTTATCGCCCTGCTAATTCCTCTCCCGGGGGCACTCAATTTTCACTCGTTTTCTACGAATATCTTAAAGGCAACCGCAAACTGAAAGAATTAGTTTGGGAAGTATCAGCTGTAGCAGCACTTGCAGATGTCCTTAAAGCGAGTCATACTCTAACACACTTACATTTGAGGACCGGCCGGTGCATTAAATCACTAACTCAAGCTCTTCAGGCGAATCACACGGTTACACATTTAAATATGTCTCATGCCAAAGTCAACGATGTGCAAGCGAAAGCACTCGGAGAATTTCTCCGGTCAAATCACACTTTGACTCATTTGTCTATATCTGATAATCAGATAACAGATATTGGAGTTGAAGCTTTAGCAGACGCTCTAAGATCCAATGAAATATTGAAGAACTTGGATATTAGTTGTAACTACTTTGGTGAAGAGGGAGCCAAAGCACTCGGAAAAGTTCTCCAGTCAAATCACACTTTGACTCATTTGTCCCTAGCTGATAATGGGATAAAACATATTGGAGTTGAAGCTTTAGCAGACGCTCTAAGATCCAATAAAATATTGAAGAACTTGGATATTAGAGATAACGAAATTGGTGATGAGGGAGCCAAAGCACTCGGAAAAGTTCTCCAGTCAAATCACACTTTGACTCATTTGTCCATAGCTCGTAATTGGATAACACATATTGGAGTTGAAGCTTTAGCAGACGCTCTAAGATCCAATAAAATATTGAAGAACTTGGATATTAGAGGTAACAAAATTGGTGATGAGGGAGCCAAAGCACTCGGAAAAGTTCTCCAGTCAAATCACACTTTGACTCATTTGTCCATAGCTCGTAATCAGATAACACATATTGGAGTTGAAGCTTTAGCAGACGCTCTAAGATCCAATAAAATATTGAAGAACTTGGATATTGAACGTAACAAAATTGGTGCTGAGGGAGCCAAAGTACTCGGAAAAGTTCTCCAGTCAAATCACACTTTGACTCGTTTGTCCATAGCTTATAATCAGATAACACATGTTGGATTTGAAGCTTTAGCAGACGCTCTAAGATCCAATGAAATATTGAAGATCTTAGATATTGAATTTAACGAAATTGGTGATGAGGGAGCCAAAGCACTTGGAAAAGTTCTCCGGTCAAATCACACTTTGACTCATTTGTCCATAGCTCGTAATCAGATAACACATATTGGAGTTGAAGCTTTAGCAGACGCTCTAAGATCCAATAAAATATTGAAGAACTTGAATATTGAAAGTAACAACATTGGTGATGAGGGAGCCAAAGTACTCGGAAAAGTTCTCCAGTCAAATCACACTTTGACTCATTTGTTCATAGCTCGTAATTGGATAACACATACTGGAGTTGAAGCTTTAGCAAAAGCTTTAAAGTCCAATAAAAACATTGAAGGACTTGGATTACAATGATAACAACATTGGTGATGAGGGAGCAGAAGCACTCAAAAAAGTTCTCCAGTTAAATCACACTGACTCATTTATAGCTGCTTATCAGATACTGGGTTGTGGAGAATGGGTTTGCTCATCGCATCGCCATCCGATTGGTGATCAAGGGGCAAGAGCTATAGCACATGCTCTCCGATATCACAGTTCACTGACTCTCCTAGGTATTTGTGTAAATAGTTTAAGTGACTCGTCATTCGCAGCACTGGGAGAAGCATTTAAGAGCTAATGTCAGCATTCATCAAACAAACAGCGGCAAGTCACCCAAATTTGTTTTCCCTCCTACTTTCATATTTTGTAGCCCAATATGTTCTAATAATTGTGGTGTAGTTTTTTTTGTAAAAATTTATTTTAGTTTTCGAGAAATAATTTTTTTCGTTCGACCGCTCAAATATGCAAATTTTCACCGTGAATATTACCAGAGTTGTGTGACCTCATGTAACGAATGTACGAGACCTACGGTATTTCTGTGAACACAATCCTTTGTTTTATCATCTAAACTTACTCCTCTGTCGTTATTGAAGCTGGCAAAGAAATATTTATTTTTTGGTGAATATTTTTGTCCGACATACTTTCCCTATGTCGAAAACTAGCATCAAGACAAAGAAAGTTTTAGCAATGACCGATATGACACAATCTACCGAACTTCAAGCTTTTAAAAGACCAAAGGATGGTTATAAAGTTACTGTAAAAATTTCCTTGTGTATTTGTGTTGTTCTATCTTGAGACGAACTCAAAGTCCGGCAAAATTTACTTGATAGCGACCATGAAATATACATGGCGCCTTCTTGTCGCTAACATAACACTTTTACCTTGTTTATTTGTGATTTTATTAGCTGTTTCGATGATCACGTTTATTATGCTCTACCACATTCCAGCCAGATTTGAGTTCCAGTTTATATCTCTTCTCTAACTTATTATATCAGTTGCGTGACACAGGAATTCAAAGATGAATCAACCTCCGAAATACCAAGAGATGGGGTTTTTTTTCCTCTTTGCATGACATCTAGAAAAACCTTTCAGGAATTACTGCATTCAGAAAACTAAAATGCCCAGATCCATCAATGATTCCTTCGCCGGCTGAAGTCAAAGTATGGTTACAGTAGTCAATTTGATTGACAAGCTACATACTGAGTTAGCTAACTGATCTGTTTTATAAGCGTCTCATCTTACATGCTAACCTGGAGATTTGCTACTTAGTTAAATCGTTCGCTGGTGGAACTTGTGGGTTTAGTTATCGAGAAGACCAAGTCGTTCCCTTGCGTGATTGTTAAGAAGACATTTCATGTCACTCTCGGAGTTGCAAGTTTTCAGATCCAGAAAAATGAAGTTGATCTTGTTTTGTCGCATGCCGGCATCTTCGAGACGCTAAAACACATCGATGATTTTACAAATTGCCCCACACACAGATCAAATCTTGGTGTTGGGTGGAATCGTGGTTCCAATAGCAAATGTAGGGTGCCAAAAGAAATGTCCGGCCAGGGTAAAGGTGGGTTAAGGTGATTCCAAAAGCTGATAGGGGAATCGGCAAGCAAGATGTCTGGAAAATTCGTACAATCTGGCTTCGGTAAGTAGGCTACTTACCACCGTGAGCAAAATAACGCGTGACGTCAGAGTTAAGTTTCGATTGGGAATTGGTCAATAGGCTACCAAAAATTTAGACAGAGGCGGAGTTTTCTCAACTAATGCCTGAACACTTTGTTGGCTTTCCGCCGTCTGGGGGGACGCGTAATTATGCACACTGCGGTAAAGGGCCCTTCCGCACTAGCTAATAGACGCTGACAAAACATGTTTCTCTTCGCCAAAATCACATTAGAATTTGTCCTTGCTAAATGTCAAGTGTGCTACACGTATTAGCACCACCGGGGGGACTCCTTTACATAAGAGGGCGGGGTGCGCGCCTGGAATTTCGAAAACGACCGCTATAAAATTATAAAAGGTGCTCTCCTCCATCTGGCAGTGGAAACAATTAGCCTGTTAAAACAAGTGTTTATGTCCTTTTCTGTCTTTTTCAATGCTTCCCTCGCTCCTACAGAGGATTCATACAAATATGAGAGCTGTGCCGCGTTTACATTGTACAGGTAGAAAAGGTCGTCCAGAATGAGTGTTTCGTTCTGTAATGAAAACCCCAATAAACTCACTCAGAAATGACTCATTTTGAATAAATTTTACGCTGGTTATTATGTGGCAACCGTTATGAACTCGTTCTTGTACAAAACTCAGTCGGATATCATGTAAAAGGCCCCCTAAAAGTTTTTATCCCAGAGCATCACGCTTTGCTCGCCTGTCTGAATACTAAAAATTTCAGTAGTGTTGAAGCAATAACCCGCTCTTAACTGCTGCTGAAACAACGATAAGTGAAGAGAGCACATATTTTAATATTTTAAATTCAACGTAAACAAAAATGTTTATACATGGTAAATATTAACTTGTGTCGGTATCAATTATTGCGTGACTAGCTTATGATACAAATGAGGGAGGGGAAAACACAACTCAAAACCTGAGCTCCTGTCAAAAAGTAATACCCAGACGTAATATAACAATCGAAACGGCTAATAAGGTCATAAATAAACAAGGTAAGGGTGTTATGTTAGTGCACTCTTGAACTTTTAGATTTAAGTTCTAACAAAATTGATCGTTCAGGCGCAGGAACTCTAGCACAGGCACTGAAAAAAATCAAAGCCTGATTTATTTGCAGCTGAGTCACCACAAAATCAGTGATGCCGGAGCTGAAAAATTTGTAGCGGTTCTTCAGTGCAATGAGACTTTGATGTTTCTAGGCTTCATGCATAATTGATTGACTAAGCCAGGAAACGACCTCTTTGAGGGTTTGGGTGGCCATTTGGCACAAACCGGATATATTTGTTCCTGCGGCTATGGCGTTAAGTGGATTAGGAGTTAATGAGCACCACCTGCGTGTAGAATTTGTGCAACTGTTATAATGTTGGCCCAAAACAGGATTAAAAAGAAAATTTCAGAAATGGTGGAAAGATGGTGGTTACACGTACATCATTAGACTTCAACATGATCAAAGTGTGTAATTCATTACATATGCGTAAATTATTCTACTCGTGTCGTTTGAGAGTAAGTGTTCCCGGAGAGATTTGGTTCGAAATTGACGATGGAAAACAATGCTCATACATATGCACGAACCGCAGTGGAGTGCAGTTCGCATAACTACACACCTTGATCGCTTTGAAATCGTCATATACCGAGTACTCTGAGAAACACCACATTGTATTTGGTTTTTTGGTTTCAAATTGTACGCCCACCCGCACACAAACAGGTAAACAATCGTGTCATATTCCCCAGATTCATGAAATATTTTCAAAAGACAGAAAAAAGAAAGACTGATGATGTAACAGCTGATACATCAAGAGAGTTTTAGTTTTGTAGTGATTGACCTATTGGCTTCAAGAAAACCAGTAAATGGAAATTGTCTTTTAATTTGTTGGGATGTTTGCCTCACTGCTAGTACTCATGAACTCATTTTTATTTATTTTTTCTTTAGGGTTGAGCTATGCTGGGTTTCTGCCTGGGATTCTTGTGACCTCTGCGAGCTGTCCTCATTTTTTCAGAATGACTGTTACTCAAGCAGTCCGGTTTTCTTTCTCTGGCATTCAATTACCTGTATTGAACAGTCAAGTAAAGCGGAATCACTCAAACAGTACTAGGGATAGTCGGCACCAATATGAAAATCAAGAGGGTCATCCATTGGCCGCTCAACTCAAATCGCAGACACGTGGAAGACCTAGTTTGTTATTCGAAAAGAAATGTGAACCTTTCTTCTCGAAAAGGGGTTCAAAGTACCAGTCATGGCCCAGCTTCTGATAGCGTCTACTCGAACCGTCGGTGAGGCGAGGTGACCGCCAAATACAGATTCCACAGAATGCGGGTCAAATGTGATAAATCTTGCTATGTTGTGCTCACATCCTACAAAGCAAGGTAAATTGCAGTGCGTTTATGAGTTTTATAACTCGAAGTGCCAACATTGATTTCGGGAGATAAATATGGAATAACACTAAGTTGGAGATTATTCTTAGTACTGTTTGAGTGGTCCCGCTTTAAGACTGTTCAATACAGGTGAAGACAACAAACCGCTTAATGGAGGTGACCACTTAATAGAGGTGAAAGTTACAGTACTTTAGGGAAAACAAAATTCCGGACTTTAACAACTGACTGTTATAGACGTTGATTTCATGGAGTAGGCTCTGTATGTTAATTATCACCTTTTAATTAATAGTAACAGATCATCAAAGGTTAAAAAATTGAAGGGTATAAATTGATGTGAAATTACGTTAAATTTAGAAGGATAATTGCAGAAGAATTATTCAGAATTTAAGGATTGTTAAGTTTTGTGGTTGTGGCTCGAACAAAAGAGAATACTGAAAAGCAAAACTTGCAAATGTTCTGCAAAAAATGCAGCCCCAACAAGGATCCTTAACTTTTACTTAAAACTACTTAGTTAATTTGATTAAAATTCGTCAAAATTGTCATTTCTGCCAAGCTGATTTTGCTTTGGCAAATTTGACAAAATCAACAATTGAAAGCCATGAACATTCACTTGGTTTGATGAAATTTGGCTAAATGTGCTATTTTCATAACTGCATGCAGTTCTGGACATGGTGTTGAACTTGACATTTTTAGATGAAATGGCCTTTAAACAAAAAAAGTGTAATTGCTCATAAAAAACCTCTTCTATGCTGTTTGTATATTAAGTAATCACCTGATTTTGAGTGCAATTTGGGATAAATCAGCACATTTGCATGAATATTATTATCACAACAATTACCCAGCTACTGCACAGACTAAAAGGCAAATGAGAACAATAGGAGCAAGCTGTTTCAGAGACAGTTCACAGGTTATATACATGAACAAACTGGAACATGAATTATCAATTTCACTTGACGTGTATGGCAAATTTCACCAGTTTTTAACATGTTGGCTCTTGTTGAAACTTCTGCGGTAAAAGAAGTACCAGCTCAGCATATTGGTGGATGCTTAAGAGGCTGTCTCTCTTATTTCCACCCGGTCAATTTTGCGTCAAAAATAATTTTGCCTGAAACTCTGTTAACAGAAAGACTTTACCTAGGAAAGAACTAAATTAGATTTGGTTTGATTCGAAATAATGTTCTGACTGCATTACGGGCCATAATTATTTCCCAGTCCGTAGGGACTGTCGCAACGTCTCAAAAATTGAAAAATAGGCATATTTTGTAACGTTGTAAAATATTTGATTCGCATAGTTAAGCCACAGAATTTATATCAGATTGCTTAAAAACCTTTCTAGTTTGCCAAGAAAGTTAGAATTTTCCCTCTCGACATATTTGAAAAGGCGAATTTTAGCATATTCTGACCACTAGAAATCGCCATCGGCCGATGGCCGTAAATAACCTTGATTTAGACGCTAAGTTTTGGGATTTGGGACCTGGTTGACGATTCTATCCTACACAGCCGTTAAGTTTAGACCTTTATAGGCAAAAATATGCAAAAACTCCTGTACGTTTTCGATTTTTCAAAAGTTATGACCATTTGAATCAGCACATGTACGAGCATTCGCGATTTTTTCGCCTACACCAAAATCGAACCACTGGAGCAGATTTCGTCATAAATACAGCTTACCCGCTTTGCAGCCCGGCTTCATGGCTCACTTCAGAATTTTTCTAATAACCAGATTGGTGAAATCCATGATAACTTCAACAAATAGCTAGGTATTGCCTTCGAAAAGTAGGCGGCATCCATCGTGATTCGTGGTATCAAAACAAATGCCGGAATTGGCCACATTTCGCGGTGAATCACCCATTTAACATCGCTGCAGAGCTGAATTTTTTCCAAAATCAGAATATAAACTCTCCATGTCTGGAAGCTGAAGGAGAAATGAAGGTTAAAGGCTTCTGAAGTGAAGAAATAATCGCTCAAATTTAGATCCATTTCGATGTTATACTGTTCTCACAAAGGTCCGCACAAAAGAGAAGACTGTTGATAGCATGTGCTGTACGTTGTGCCGTATGGTTTTGTTTTGTATCCCAATGTAATATTTGGGCAGAAAAATTTTGGATGAAAAGAATAAATGCTTTTACCTGGAGTTTGATATCATATAATTAATAAATCAGTTTCAAATATCCTGAGCTTGCTTCCCTCGGTTCCGCGTCGATTGTGTCCACAGAACAGCAACCTGTCAATAGCCGGAGAAATCATGGGTTTATGTAAAATAATTTCAGATATTCCTCGCTTCCCAAACTGGTGAACTGGACTTTATGATAACTCCAGCAAATACCTCCAAAATTCAGCGGTCGGCATCTGTCGATACTCTTCTTTGACTCGTTGTTGCGAACTAAACTCGAAAACTAAAGCCATGTTTCGCGCTTAATGTCCCGTTGAAACTTTGGATTGCAGCTGCATTCTGAACTCCACTTTTAGGTCTATGTGTCGAAGTTTGGCGTTTTGGAATTTAAAGCTGTACGATTGCACTATCGCGCATAACAGAGGTCCGCATTAATCATTGCGGGTGAACCCGCTGACCCTTTATTTTTTTTGGAAGGCCTGCAAGTGTAGTATGGCATGCAAGTGCTTTTTCGAAACCAGAGAGGCTTCAGTCTGTAGCGAGTCCTCAGCGAGGTTGTTAAAGCTTTCATTGGACAGAGGATACGCATTGACGAAACACCCAGTGAAGGGAACAACAGCTGTAGTAAGAATAGTAGACGAATCAAAGAACACTCTCTGTACAAATAAGATTGAGCATTTTAGTAGCTTCCACAACTTCGAATATGGAGATATCGGTCTGACAGTTTGGAAATGTTATGGCATCGGTAAAGGGAAGTACATTCTATATGACGTAATTTATATCAAGCACCAAAGTCAAACGTCCCTTCAAACCATAGAATCTCTAGGGTTTTATGATCCTCCTGAAAAGCGTGTGGTCAAGCGTCGTTCAAAGGGCAGCAAGGAAACAGAGAGTACAACGCCATTGTTTGAATGCTCTGTGTTTGGATGTGTTGAAGTGTTCGAAACCTTTTCGCAGCTGGAGCTGCACCTGGACGTTGGAAAGCATACAGTCAGCAGGTTAAAGCCAGTATGATGCAATCAAAAGGGACTGGGCCCTTAAGTTCTCGTCGATAGATACCGCTGGTATCGAGTGTTCGAGCTGTTCGTTAGATTCTAGTACACCACTCACTTCTCCCGTGGATACTTCGCCCCACTCGTCTTTACAAACAGGATGGGCCGTAAGCAAACCAAGGGGCAGCGTTAGATTTTCAGAGAAGGTAAAAGAATACCTAACGGCACGGCTTACACTTGGAGAAAGAACTGGGCGAAAGGCCGATTCCGCCCAAGTTGCAGTGGACATGCGAAATGCGAAAAATGAATCAAATGCACGTTTGTTCACTAGAGAACAGTGGCTGACAAAGAGCCAAGTTCAGAGCTTTTTCTCCTGGCTAGCAGCAATGCGGCGAAAAGATCAGGGTGTGATCGGGATATCACTGGATGAGGAGGAAGATATCCAATGCGTCCAGGAAAATTCCGAGAGATAAGATCTGGTAGACAAAGTTAACAAAGAGATCAAAGTCTCACATCCAATCTGCTACGATACGTAGGACCTCTGTGAACGTTACCACAATAACACACTTCAGAAATTCAATGTGGTTTTGTTGAGAGCCATCTGTAGTCATTTTGAGATCCCTGTAAAATTGAGAGACAAAAAACAGATCCTCATAGACAAACTGTCGGACGTGATTAGTGATTTTCAGTGTGTATCTCAGTAGACTTATGTAAACAATGTCTTATACGGTGGCTGAAAGTGTAGAATATGCTCTACAGATACAAACTACCTTTACTTCCGATATCAAGTTCTGACGGCGTTGTTATAGTGTAATATATCATAATATCTAGTAGTCAGTGAAATGTTTTGATGAAATCGATTGAAAATTTACCAAAAGCAACACTTATAACATCTGTTCATACGAAGCATGTGTCAAGTTTTTAACACGTTGGTAGCCGATTTCTCCGGCTATTGACAGGTTGCTGTTCTGTGGACACAATCGACGCGGAACCGAGAGAAGCAAGCTCAGGATATTTGAAATTGATTTATTAATTATATGATATCAAACTCCAGGTAAAAGCATTTATTCTTTTCATCCAAAATTTTTCTGCCTAAATATTACATTGGGATACAAAACAAAACCATATGGCACAACGTACGGCACAAGCTATCAGCGGTCTTCTCTTTTGTGCGGACCTTTGTGAGAACAGTACAACATAGAACTGGATCTAAATTTGAGCGATTATTTCTTCACTTCAGAAGCCTTTAACCTTCATTTCTCCCTCAGCTTCCAGACATGGAGAGTTTATATTCTGATTTTGGAAAAAATTCAGCTCTGTAGCGATGTTAAATGGGTGATTCACCGCGTAATGTGGCCAATTCCGGCATTTGTTTTGATACCACGAATCACGATGGATGCCGCCTACTTTTCGAAGGCAATACCTAGCTATTTGTTGAAGTTATCATGGATTTCACCAATCTGGTTATTAGAAAAATTCTGAAGTGAGCCATGAAGCCGGGCTGCAAAGCGGGTAAGCTGTATTTATGACGAAATCTGCTCCAGTGGTTCGATTTTGGTGTAGGCGAAAAAATCGCGAATGCTCGTACATGTGCTGATTCAAATGGTCATAACTTTTGAAAAATCGAAAACGTACAGGGGTTTTTGCATATTTTTGCCTATAAAGGTCTAAACTTAACGGCTGTGTAGGATAGAATCGTCAACCAGGTCCCAAATCCCAAAACTTAGCGTCTAAATCAAGGTTATTTACGGCCATCGGCCGATGGCGATTTCTAGTGGTCAGAATATGCTAAAATTTGCCTTTTCAAATATGTCGAGAGGGCAAATTCTAACTTTCTTGGCAAACTAGAAAGGTTTTTAAGCAATCTGATATAAATTCTGTGGCTTAACTATGCGAATCAAATATTTTACAACGTTACAAAATATGCCTATTTTTCAATTTTTGTGACGTTGCGACAGTCCCTACGGACTGGGAAATAATTATGGCCCGTAATGCAGTCAGAAAATTATTTCGAATCAAACCAAATCTAATTTAGTTCTTTCCTAGGTAAAGTCTTTCTGTTAACAGAGTTTCAGGCAAAATTATTTTTGACGCAAAATTGACCGGGTGGAAATAAGAGAGACAGCCTCTTAAAGAAAAACAATTGTGATGGTGGCAACCATTCGCGAAAACCTGATTTGATAGTTGTGTTATAGTTTATCCCAAAAAACAAAAAAAATCACAAAAAAAAATGCATAGTCAACCATTCCACTGAGAATTGCCAGAATTATCCAGGCAATGATTGTTGTGATACCATTCATGTTCAAACCTAAGCCTTGCTGTTGATCTGAGAGCTATAAATTTTAGAAACCTTAAGCAATTCATACTTTTAGAGGGTGGCTCATTATCACAACTTGGAGATTATTAAATAGGTGTATCAATTAGAAACTGGTGGAAGTTGTGATTTAGTTTGTCAAATCATTTCTTGTTCATGTCCTTTTAAGTAGGGTTTAAGCACAATGTTACAGTTAATTGATTATTTACATTGTACAGTGGATGAAGATGTTTTGATAGACATGCATTCATTAAGTATGTCATGTAAGCACAATTATGTCTCTAATTATAAGGATCAGGCTTCAAGTCAAAACACTTGACCAAATTAAAATGTTTTTGTAACTTGACCACCAGGCTGAGAACAATTCTTTTTCTTTCAGCAATAAATTCTGTATCAATTTTGCACGCAGTTTGGTGGTTTTTGCTCAGAATTGAAGTAGTTTTATTTCTCCTCTTTAAGGGCTCTGAGATGCAAATGATTGAAAAGATCCCCTCAACTGCATTAAGTAAAGTGCTCCAACATTCCCAAAGGGAAGGCAGGACACTATATTGTCAATGGCTTACTCAGTAAACCAAAAAAATTCACCAGAAGTCTCTTCACTACACAACTGGAGCACTGATTACAGTGAGAAATGAATGGTATATTTGAAAATCAAAAAGATAATTGCTCTGCAGTGCACTTATTCTAGTGGCATAAGATTCGAAAATGATCCCTACTGGAAAAAGTTCTCTGAACATCAATCTTGAGCATCATCTGTGGTAAGGGGACAAACTGGATGGATGATCACTAGCCTACAGTGCAGGTGTCTCATTAAGGGAAGTTAACAATACAAGCTCGCAATTGTTCATTTCACCGGCCATGTTTAAATTAGAGTAAGACTGGATGGCAGTCCAGTCTTACTCTAATTGAGAGATGAGGTGGGAAAGGCAACAAGACCCTCTCCCTTTTCTCTCCTTCCTTTTGACTGTTGCTTTAACACTGGCATGAACCCTTTAACTCCCTAGATCTGTTTGTCAATTCTCTCCTCTTGCTGCTACACAATAATTCCTTGTAAATTAGTTATAAGAATTTGGTGTAAGATCAAGATTAAAACTTCTTCCTGATAAGTTTGAGTATTCTCATTAACTGTTTGCTAGAAAACATATGGACATCACAGGGAGAAGTTACATGTTGGTCACTTCTGGGAGTTGAAGGGTTAACCCTCTTGGCCTTAGCACCTCCCCCCTTCCACAACACCGTGATGCCTTCATCTATGCATGCAAGAAGTAACACAACCTGAATTTTAATTTTTTTTTTTTTAATTAGTCCTGGTGAGGAAATGTTCCCATAAATGAGAACATAATGAGTATAAAACAACATTGAATAAAATAAAATTTTAATCAATAAAAATTGATTTAATTGTATCCTTTTCCATTTATAATAAGCATGCATTCTATGAGTCACTAAGTAAAATTATTGTACATATGTAAAAATTTTTATGGAAAACACTTGATTTAGATTGAATAAACTCTGACACAATGCCAAATGTATTAAAATTTATGCCTGGATCACCTAAAACAGGAGAGAAAGCGAACAAAGATTTATGATTCCTAATCACAGATTTCAAACTTGTTTGGCTGTTTTTAATGAGACCCATCCAAAAAATCTTTTTTTTTCTTGTACTTAAGTTTCCTTTTTAAGCAGAATTTGACATGATACACAAAATTCAAAACCCTATCACATCATAGCAATATAAATAAAATATACATGTACATATTTATAAATAGAATATAAAATATTCAGGTAAAATTCAAATGTACAATAGAAAGACTTTGTAATGGCACTAAACGGTAGATTTTGTTTCCTTGCTTGAATTTAACAAGCTATTTACAAAGAAACAGATTGAAAGCTAAAGGGATCTATCCAATGTTAAAACATGAGACAAACTGGGTTTGTCAGTATTAATTTTCAAACTTCATTGCTGTAGAAAACATATGTTCCTGGAACACTGAAATAACATTTCTAAAAATTGAGATCATTTTAAATATTGCTTCTGGTAATATGAGAATTGCAATGAATACTACTCTTTAAGAGTTAACCTAAGACACATGTCAATAATTTAGACATTAAAAAGTCTCTTGAAACAAGAGGTAAGCAAAAAGTAATTTATGCTTGATACAAGACATACTTATAGTGCTTCATAGAAGCTACTTGTGTCATTGGATTCAATAAGATCACTTAAATCGAATGACTTTATCTCCCCTAGCTCCCCCTTAATAACCCCACACCCCCCAGGGAGGCTTTCAATTCCTCCAGGCACAATTCCAAAATCTTTATCTGTGGTATCACATCCCATCCCTTTATTCTCTTGGCCCCACAATTTTCTCACCTTTCCCTCTCCTGTTCCCCTAAAAGCTTCCCCTAAGTTCCATTCTACCCCCTTAGTGCCTATAGCAACCTCTTTTCCTCCCTCAGTATCCCTTGATATCCCCATAGGGAGCCTTGAACTCTCCCCCTTGCAGCCAAATGTCTCTCCTGCATTCTGCACTATCCCCTCTATGTCAATTACACCCTGTTCAGCACCCCCAGTGTCCCTCGATGCCTCCATTGGGCATCCAAAGTCCCCCCATACACCCACATATCCACCCACCCTTGTACCAGTGAGTTGTGTCTCTGTTTCCCCATACCCCTCCCTTTGTTCCAGAGTTCTCTGTGCTTCACAAAAAACATCAGGTGTGCTCCTGCCTCCACCGTCGGAAGCTTCGCCATCAGAATCGTTCGCGAGAATTGCATCGATGTCCATAACAAACTGATAGGTAAACTGCTGGCCACGAACCTTTTCCAGAATGGACTTTCCATAGTAATACCGCAAACCTCGCGCAAGCTTTGCAAAATTCATATTGGTCTTTTTCTTCTGCTCTCCCCATAGGGCCGCCAGTTTATCAGGCTGCAAAATGCGAAATTCGTATTTGTCTTTCTTAGTCCATTCCACAAGAGGCTCTGACGATGAAGAAACGAGCTCTGACAAAATTAGTTGCCACAGCTGAATTGGTCCATTGCCTGAGGAAAGAATAAAGGATTCTTAACGAGGCTCACAGAAAGATAACCTAACCTTGGGAGCATGTAGGATCCTCAATCGCTGACCATAACGTTTTGACTTCCATGAACGGGTGTTAATCACTTCTTCTCCTTAAGGGAATGGTAGTTCAAAACAAGTTTCTCGCCGCCCCCTCCCTCCCTTTCACTAGAGCATCGTTTCCTTGACGGATATCAATACTCCTGAGTACAAACATTCGGTCGCGAAACCGACAGAATCATATCACATCTTATACGCGTGTCTTTCTACTTCGGAATTAGTTGGCATTTTACATCACTATCCCAATAACAAAATTTTTGTGAGGTTGTATTTCGTTGTTTTACCGATCTGTTCAAGTGAGGGAATGTTAACATCTCACCTGGTAAGACCTTAGCTCAGGCAAAAGTTTTAAAATGTCAACTTACCGTCGTACATTTTCTTTGGTTTTGGACCTCGATTTCTTTTTCTTGCTCGATGCTTGTTGCTTGCTGCCCGATTTTCTGTATTTTCTGAAATGAAGAGCAATGTAATGAAAAGTTCAGTTCACAGGTACATAGATATGGGGGATAGGCTACTCGGAAATCTTACAGATGTCTTTTTTTTTAAATTTTGTTACTGAAAGAACAGGGCTCCCTCTGAAAATTCTTAAGGAATATAACATCAAAATAAATTGGAAGATTACGCATGTTACCGGGTAAATGTTGCATAATTTGGAATATTGTGACAATTTTTTTTTACTTTTTATATTCCAACTCTTGCTTCCAGCGATCGCCGAACCTGTGACTTTTTGTAGGAATTTTTACAATTTTTGGCTGATTTAAATCATGCAGACATTTGATACGTACGTCAATTTATCGGCAGGATGTTTCTTCTTGTCTAAACATTCGTTTCGCAATATTCAGGAAATAACAAATCTTCATCACAAAAGCATCGAGGGAAGGTGCGATGAGGCAAATAAATCGAATATTGCGCAACATAATTTACACTAGATTTAATACAAAAGAAGGCTCGATATCCTGAAAATCATCATACATTCATCACACAACCTTATCATTTTAGACTTCCACTATTTAGACGAATGATTACCGGTGTCATAGAATATTTTCTGTATAATTACGCATTTCATCGATTGACCGCAGTTTCCGCCTCTTTATTTATTTACAATATCATGATGTCATTACTTTCACACTCGACTGATGTTACTTTGTACTGGATAAGCCCATAAATAGATATAGAAAATGATTTTTTGGTTCTCATAAGTGATTCCCCTAGCACTCTGAAAAAATTTAATTCAAGCGAATCAGGACAATTTGACAGTTTCTTGAAAATGTCGCGTGACTTTTTCTCGAAGACCGAATCTATCCAACGACGGTCACGCGAAGATACCAAGAATCCAAAATTTGTATTGAAGAAAAAAGGAAAAAGAAAAAGCCAACACAACAATAACAAATAAATTGTAAAATAAACCTAAATATCTTACCTTCTTGAGGACAGTCTGGCAGTCTTTTCCGTGGAGCTATTTGTGAGGAGCCCATCGTTAGGGAATCGATGCGAGAAGGCTGCACCGGATTCACTACAGTTGCACCAGGCGATAGAAATTCTTGATATCCAACGTTGTCCAGTAGAAAATTCTTTATCTAAGGAGAGACAACAACACCTACGTCTTTAACTGAAATACACTGTCGAGTTCACGCCATATAGTTCCTCTGTAAAGTTAATTTTACGAGAAAACCTGTAACAATTATGAACATTGTAGTATCAATCTTTGCTGATTTAATCGAAAATTTAGCTCTGTGGTCGTTCATATGATTTAAAGATCTCTTAAAAAATTTAGAGTAAACAAACCAATGCGGAAAAAAAGATTCTTAATGTAATTATTTCCTATTACTGGTCTCAAATTTGTTAACTGGTTTTTGTTCGGCGCTGACACTGGTATCGATGACTACACCGTGCCCGAAGACTTACCCTGGTTAACTGGATGTTTCGATTTGGGTTGAACACATTCATCTTTCTCTAAGTAAGAGATTCGAACGCTGGTAGACTTTACCAGCAAAAATACCGGTGATTCCGAGTGTTACACTCAAACACAATAAACGAACTAAACTCCACATCGTGTGAATAATTGTTTTTATAAATGTGGTAATTGAGGAGCACGTGACAAATCTTGACTGACGTCATTTGTAAGCTTGGGCGTAACAAGACTTTAGCAATAACTTAATTGCTGTATTATGTGAAAATCGCACGTCAACGGCCATTGAAATTTCAAGAATGGTATGTTTCATCTAATAGATCGCTATTGACGATAACTACATGTCATTACCATTCATCTCGACTCTTTCCAGGTTTATGTACTTTGAAGTCGAACTGGAGCGGCAAGAAAACGAAAAGTCTAATAGCCTGGGGGATGATAAATTTTATTTCGTATCTTCACTCAATTATTTGCTTCTTTTTTGCTCTCTCTTTGCCGCCCATATTCGTGGATTTTATGGACACTTTGCAGTTTATCTATCAAAGGGAAAGCAAGAGCTGAATTTGCTCAAGAAATTTTTTTTTGCGTTGATTATTCATATGTCGATTGCGCAATATCTTGTCATGTAAACTGACCCTATATCCAAGTTATTCTACAATCTCAGTTGTCAACGCTGCACAAGTTGCTAGGAGAACGTAAATTCTTTCAAATCTCAGATGACTCGGATTAGAAACTTGCACAACTTAAACGAAATACGTACGGAATCCATGCTCCTTGAAACCAAATCGGAATGATGACAATTTACATTTTTAGTATCACGCATTCATGGCATGGCGTGAATGTCAAACTTATGCAAAGTAGCCTGTTGGTGTCCTTGAGCAATTGCATATATGCACGTACACTGTGACTAATTTTAGCTCATGACGAAGACAAAAGCTTCTTGGCGTGACAAGCGGTTCATTTTGTTTCCCTAAAAGGCCATTGTGTGTTTCTCTTTTAGGATTGGGGTCTAGCTCAGCATAACGGTGGCGTGATCCTCTAAAGCAAAAAGGTCACAAAAATATAAGAAAGATATTCGTGGGAGGGTTGTGAAGAAGAACCACGAGAAAAAATACATGATAACCAAAGTAAATTTTGATGCTAGTAAAAACAATTCTTGCACCAGCTCTCAGCCAGAAAACAAACAAACAAAGAAACACATGTATCTTTTATAACCGAAGGCGAACGGCGGCAAATCTTTTGTCGATGAAAAGATTAATGGATGGAAGGCAAAAAATTAGCGAACTTATGTGCTCTTTAATTGTCCTTCCATTCATTCGTTCATATTCATTAATTCATTCGTTTGCTCATGCATTTATGGCTAATCCACTGATTTATTGATTAGTTCAATTAATTTATTTTTTGGTTCATTTATTCATTCTGACTCATTATCCATTCATTCATTTTTCTTTCATTTAACTATTTTTTTCACTCTACAATTGGAATTTAGGACTCTGCTGTGTCTAGCCTTCTGATACTAATTCATGTACACGTCCTCTTCCATATCAATAGGGTATTGATCACTTAGAGTCTATCGGCTGATGGTCATGTTTCTCTAATCTCTAAGTGCGTAATATTTACCCTCTTTACACACTTTGTTATTCTCATTCTGTAGCTGTAACTGTGAAATGAAAACGCACGAATTTAAGAAAAGTTCACACGACGTATGCCTCAAACAGTACTTCACGCATCACGAATTAAAAAGGAAAACTTCAAATTTACCTTTCTGTAAAATTTACGCGTCACGCATTAAATTTGGGCTTAGTAATGTGTCACGCATAAACCATATACCCCCCTCTTAGAATGTTTCTAGTCAGAAAACCTAATCTCAGAATATTTATTTTCGTGAACGTCTCCTGAAATGTTAATCCTACGCGTTTTCACCTTCCCAATGACATTTCAGGTGAATTGGGACAAGTGTGGCTCAATAGTTGTTGGAGAGATGCGCAAATTCAAAATACCTTTTGTGAATATGGAAAAGATTTCTTAGCAATGAACACTACTTAAGCAGCAGTGAAAATAAGGCCTTAAAAAAATTCAGGTCTGTACGGAATTTAAACCCATGACCTCTGCACCGGTATCGAAGAGTTCTTTGTCCGCAGTTCACATAAATGATTTTCATACATTTCATTTACAGTCATTAAATAGTTTTTTCGATAAAACTGATCCCAAAATGAATTGGTATTGAGTGTAGGTATGATATTTTGATCGGCCTTGTTTTCGAGAAAACCTTGCTCCACTTTTATAGGCGTGTAACAGCCTCTTCTAGGCTATCAGTTTGGGGAGACAGGAAAAAAAACGAACGCCAGAAATTTGAGACGGGTGTAGACGCAGCGCTTGCTTGCGGCACTCCCAAACGGCTACATTTTGCATCTTTCTCCGCGCCGGGCCCCTTATTTTGCGAACGCCATTTTTCGCGCGTCCTCTCTCTCTCTCTCTCTCTCTTTCTCTCAAGAAAAGAAAAGAAAAGAAAAAAAAAGAAAAGAAAAGAAAAGAAAAGCTCAAGAAAAGGGACGTGCAATGTGCGTTATGTAACAGTAAAAACTAACAAACAAACTAATGTTTCACTAGACCGTACTCGTTCTGTTTCGCTGAAAATCTTCTATACGTCAGTTTTTGTTGCTCTGTTGTTGTGTCGCATTTTATGTCGTGGTTTTCTATTACATTCGGTCTTGCTGTAACGGCAATCTCTCTTCTTCGCCACTTCCCTTGGTTCACAAAGGAGGCCTAAGCTGTTGTGGGGTTATTCGAATGTCTATTTCATCTATCTAAAGAAATTTGTTATGAAGTAAAGCAACGAAGAGTTCTTTATCGTGATGTCAACATTGCGAAATATATGAGGTAGCCACTGAACAAGAAAGAAACCCTCCAATTATAGTCCAATAAAGTAGTATTCATTTTTATTTGTCTTCTTTTGCATCCTTGAGTCAAACGATGTTAGCTGAAATATTGCTGGGCAGTAGCAATTTAAGCCTTAAAATAAAAAGAAAGTCCATTATCTTATGAAAATGGTCAGTTGTCATGCAAATAAACTCTTGCTTCATGTAAGCAGGAGCCCATTAATGGCTCCTGTGTAAGATAATGATTGATGTTCCCTCGAAACATTATAAGGTCTAGTCCAGGTCTTGGCATGCAAATCGAACCGGATTAAAAAGAGAGAAACCTGAGGAGAGGACAAAACTGCTCTCCGTATGTGTACGGGGGTGGGGAGAGTGATAGTGATTTCGCGCGCACAGATTGAGAACTTGACTACTGAATATGATGGCACTTTTTGTTTGGACAATTAATAGCGGAAGTATCCCCCGTGAATTTCATCCACAATCTCGAGCACCTTCGAAAACCCCTGTTATTCGTACTGTAACCCCCAAAACCCCACCACCCCCGCCTGGGATACACTCTTATAATAAAGGGAAATTTGAAGATGGGAGAACTTTTCAGTCTTCAAGAACCAATTCAAACTTGATATAGAATAACATTTTAAAGGTTATCCACAATGCTCTTTATATAACAAAACCTTTCGATTACCTATGAGCTTGTTGAATCTTGACCAGCTAAGAATAGCCCTTATCTATTCATAAACCATTTGCTTCTTCTCTATGGCTTGTAAGAATTCGGCATTTTTTGTCGAATGAAAAGCGCGGAAATCAGAGGTGTTAGGTTCAATGTTTAAAAAAAAAAAAAGGATTCAGGTTTTTTTTTAGGCTCACGCCTGCAACAAAAAAAAGAAATTACAGTTTTCTTTCCAGGACCGTGTTTACAATTGACTATCTTTCGTACTCTATTTACCCAAACGATGCTTTCGACAACGATCATCTTAGCCGTGTTTAGAACGCTTGTCTTGTTAGAACCTACATATCTGGCACTAGCTCAGTGGAAGAGCATTGGGCGCGGAATTCGAAGGTCTATGAGGCAATAATACATTGTAAGCCATTAAACAGGTAAAATATCGAAAAGATTGAACGAGTGTTCTTCGTTTTGGTGGGGACCCCCTCGTGTCAGCTGGGGGAGGGGGACGGGATATGAATAAGATTCAGAAGCCCTCGTGTCACAGACTATACACCACATGGCATGGAGGAGGGAGGTCTGCGCTATCGTTTTTCGTTCTTCGAAATTAAAGCTTCGAATTTTCAAAACGTGTGTAGATCTCGAATTTACTGGCTTAGTAAGGGAGCCATGAGGTGTTTGATGCCATGAAAACATCAGACTTCCATCTCTCAATCTCCGAAGGTAAATATTTCAGAGTAAAATTTAATTTGATGCTTTATCACGTGTTTTAATAAGCACAGAACTTGAGGCATAAGCTTAAATCATGCTCAGCCTTTTTAAAGCCATGTATGTGAATTTAGGAAGCCAGGAGGACGGATGAATAAACAAACTTGTTTCTAATAGACTGAAGATTCACAGAAGCGGGCGAAACATACACACCAAGACAACACGCGCTGAGAAATGACCCCTTCCCCCCTCCCCCACACTACAGCCCTGAGTCTGAACTACATATGCATCCCATAATCTTATTTTAATTCTTTCCAAAAACGATCCATATATAATTGTGGGTTATAAGATGGTCTTATTCTGATTAAATATGAGCGATTTCTTCAATTCTTTAGCTAAACTACACATCGACCAAAGTGCCCCCACCCTCCCAGAGGATGGGTCGAATTCGGATAAGCGACTGGCTCAAGGGTCAACATATGTCTGACAGCTTTTTTTTTTTTGTTTTTTTGTCCCTTTCTGAGTAAAGGTGTTTGTAATTCACATCACGTACACGGTGTTCTAGGAAAGGAAGTTGTTTCACCTTTATGAATATTTCAAGAATTGATTTTCGGTTTCGAGTTTCTGTGAAGTAAAATGCTATATTTAGTCGTTCCTAGAAAAAGACGTCGAGTAAGAAAATTTTTTGCGCCAAAAGGTTAAAACTTCTGAAAATCCTTCCTAGGCAAAAAATGCTTCTGTTGTAATTTATTTTCTAGACCTGCGATTTCAAACTGTGTTTCGAAGCCATTATTTCAATTTGCAAATCAGATGAAA